TCTAAATGGGATTCAGACTTGGTAACATTCTGTTTGACGTGTATTTTTTGTAATAAAGCTCTTTTACTCCTGATTTACTGTTGTTAAGTAGTTGTTTATGGTAGACAAGATACAATATTTTATGTTTATGGTAGACAAGATACAATATTTTATCTTTTGCTTGTTTTTATGTACCCTTTATGTATCTGTTCTTATCACCATCTCTTCACCAAGAGATACCTGTTGTGATATTCATGTATTTGAACACTGAAGTTGCGTTTTCTTTCTTCTGAGAGAAATCTTTTGATGACAACTGTTGTTTCTTTTACAACTCACCTTTTTATCAAAAATGTCATTTTAAATTAGTGATCTATTTAACCCACCATGGTATTGTATCATTGCTTTTGTAACTTTTACAATTAAAAAAATGTGACTTTTTATCCTTAAAATATTGGATGATATTTTTATGTATTTTGTCTTTAGGGACTGTATTATGTTTTGAATTGTACAAACTGTTGCAGCTGGGTTATGCTTAGAAGATGTGATGCTTTAAAACAATAAAGTATTAGGAACTATTTTCAACTATATTTGTGATCCTGCAGTGAGGAGCTTGGACCTGTTGGGCACCTTGTGCTTCTGCTGTTCGCTGAAGTCACCGGGGATCATCTTTTGTAAGGATTTGGGGTTTTGGTGTATTCAGAAATGTCCTGTTCTACCAAAATAAACTTCCAATGAAATTATTGTTGTACTTTTCATAAAATTATTCTCTCTCTCTCTCTCTCTCTCTCTCTCTCTCTCTCTCTCTCTCTCTCCAGTAACCTTTTCTGCTGTACCTTAGGAAAAAGATGCCATGGACCGATCTGGCCACAGGAGGGCAGCATTCCCTGTTTTGCCATCCTCCGTGTCCTATTAGAAATGAAATTTTAGCTCCTGGAATTATCTTTTATATTCCTGACAGCCTCTTCTGTGGCTGCTTTGAGCTTTCATCAAAGGAAGGAAATGAAAGAATAAAAATAAGCCACTCCAGGGCTTCTTTGCCAAATGTCACAGCACACACTGGCCACAAGAGGGCAGACCTTGCTGCTCTGACTCAGTTTTACGGGTGTTTGCTTATTGTGTATATTCCTTAATCAAAGGTGTACACTGAGTGCCCCTAGGAAAAAAGCACCGAGTTGTAGGAATCATAAGTCCCTAGAATTCTTGATCAGGGGTTGATGAAAGGTGTCCATAAGAGGGCAGGCTTGACCCTCCCACTTGCTACCGGTACAGCCTCCACAGTAAAGGTTACATTATTTACTTCAATTTGCAAAATCTTGATTTCTGCTTCCTTGTTCAGTAGGGTATTGCTCTTAATATGCAAATAAAGCAGCAATATCTGCAGAGACCCATTCCCACAGAAGCACGCTGAAAACATTGCCCTAGGGCAGGACAAATCTCTCATATTTGGGGATAAGGATTATAACACACACACCCCCAAAAAAATTAAATGGACTAATCCATCAGGTTAAATGAGATCAAGCTGTTTTGTTATCAAATTGGCCTACAAGATACCCTGAATTGACACAATCTGTACATGACACTCACCAGTACTGACCTAAGAAGGCACACTCTGGTTTGACTTGTCTCTAACCTGAAATTCTTAAAAAGTATTTTTTGGGGGTGCACATGTGGTGAGATGAGAAGACAGATCTCATGTAACAACATTTAGTGGTTTTAGTTCATAGTTGGTCAGTTCAGACCTCTGTTTAGTTCATTTGGACTGTTAGGAATAATTTGATTTGAATTGAGTAAATCTCTTCAGTCCCCCCCCTCCAGTAGATTGAATTATATTTTCTACACCTCCCACTAGCGAGTATTAAAAAGTGCAGCAAAGTGGAAGATGGGGGTGCCCACATCTGGGGAAGAGGGAACGATGCCCCCAAAGCTTCCAGTGGCAGTGAAGAAAAATCCCCAAACTTTTTAAAAAGGTTCTCAGGATACTTCTCTGGAGTAGATTTTCAGAGCACCTGAGAACTTTGGTGAAGAGAGAAGCTTCAGGTACCCAGGTTGGCATACAGAAGTATGTCCCCACTTTTAATTCAGCAATTATTGATACATAGGGTGGCTTTCTGTGTCTCTGTCTCTTTAGAGATGTTAAAAATGAAAATAAACAGTGCACCCTTGACTTAACTGGAGTGCGGAACCAGGAATATGATTTAAAAATATATAAGTGAAAGGAGGATCGCCCCCTTGAATCATCAACCTTTTAGGGTGTTTTCATTCTTATTTGTGTTCAACAGGAAGAAATAAACATTAAAGAACTGAATAAGGTAAGCTTGTAGAGGTAAATAAAAATCTATTTAAAAGAGGAAAATGGATAATAAACACTTTTATGGGCATTCCAATAACGAGACAGGTTGAGTTACCAAAATGGACGAAGTTTATTTTAACAAAACAGTACACATTTATTCCCAAGAAATGGTGAAATATTACAACAATGCTACATGTGAGAAGTACCCCCCCAAACATATAACCAAGAAATAAAGTTCATTCACACCAGAGCGACGGGTCGGGCCCAGCATAACCTGTTGCCAAGCTGAGTCATTGAATGGGAGCCAAAGCAGAGTTTGAAGCAGAAAAATCAAGAGAAAAAGCATTTTTAATAATCATTTTTCTAGAGAAGAGACGAAGCTTAATCAAGACTAATTGGGATTATGCTTTGGCTCGTCTGTTCTTGCCAAGTGGTCCATCTCGCTACATTTGATATCCACGGCAGGATTCCAAAGGAAAGTCACTCACGCATTACGCTTTGTAAAAAGGACTGAATTCTCCAGATATACTTTCGACAGCTGTCTGTCAGTTAGTATCCTGAAGCAGCACACTTCCGTTTCAAAAACATGCACGCTAAACACTGCACTCAAAACTCAGAAGTTGGGGGAGAAACGCTGGGAAAAGCTCCCCCCCCAAAAAAACCCCTCCTGCCAGTTCCTGGAGGCGTCTGGGCCTCTTAAAGGCTCAGAATAAAGGCCTCTTCCACAAAAGGAGAGGAAAGCAGCCCACCTCACACACCACTGGGGATAAAGCGTAATTACTTCAGCAACGATTTGCAAGGCATGTTTGGAAAAAGGCTTAGGGTTTCTTTGAAGGATCTAACTTTAGAAAGGATTCAAAATTACAACTGGAGCCCGGAGTCTCTTTGCTCCCCCCCAAAAAACCCCCAAAACACAAGTCGCCTGGCTTTTGCAGTCAATAAATAGCCTGACAAGCATGATGTAGAAACAGAAGATTCTTCTTTTTTAATGGTTCTGGTCCTCAGCCTGGCCCTCAATCCTGTCCTTGCCAAGAAAGATGAGGACACCAATCTCCCCCTGTACGTCAAGCGCCGCCTCGTGCGTCCACGGCTGCCTCACTGCCCACGGAACCACTGCTCCTGATCGACCCACAGGGCCGCCTCACTGTCACTGCCTTCAAGGTCCCCTTCCTCTCCGCTGCCCTCCATGTCGTCCACATCCTCTTCCTGGGTCGCGTCAGTGGGGCTTTCTTCTTTCTCCATCTTCTGCATGCCTTCCAGCGACTTCTGATCATTGGGATCCAAACTGGAGGGGGGGAGGGGAGACAGAAAGATCAGGGCCTTGAGGACCACTGGCCTGGCCTGCCCTCTTCTCAAGGCACCCTTGACGGATTGTTTGGGGAGGGGGGATGTGCTGGGAGGTTCAAATGCAGAAAGAAACCTTTGAGGGTTTCAATTTCTACCCTATTAAAAATGGAAGTGTTTTAAGTTCAAGTTGAAAAAAAAAATAGCTGTGATTATTATTAATCCAAGTGAATCAGTCTCTCTGAAAGGAGAATCTGGACAAGGGGCTGAACTGAACCCCCAAAGGAATTTATGACAAGTGTGAGTTTTTTCAAATGGTGATCGTAAGTCAAAGACTATTCTACTTTAACTGGGAACAAGGAAGGCACCAGACACCATTTTTAAGAGGTTGAGGCCTTTCTGCAGGGGTGGCCGTGAGAAAGAGAGACACAGAACAGCCTAAGGGAGAGCGGAGGAGGAAGAGAATGAGGCAGAAACTGCCGGGGTCTGGAAAGGTTACCTTAAGGCGATGCTGTACTGGTCCATGGCTTCCTGATATTCATTGACTGCCACTAGGAAATCCCCCAACATCCGATGCAGGATGCAGTCGCTCTGGTTGGCCAAGGCGTTGCGGAGCAGAGCGATCCCGTCATCGTACTTCTGTTCTCGGCCTGTTGGGAAAGGAACGTGAAAGCAGCCATTTGTAAGAGCCAGTTTGATCTGGGGGGTTAAAACACCAGACTGGAAAGCAAAGAGACGGAGAGTTCAAGTCCTGATTTTGCCGTGAAAGCCAGTTGGGTGACTTTGGGCCAATCACCAGACGACGGTGAGTTCTAGTTCTAACTTAGGCATGAGAATTTGCTGGGTGACTTTGGGCCAGTCACCAGGAGACAATGAGTTTTAGTTCTGACTTAGCCATGAAAGCTGGCTAGGTGACTTTGGGCCAGTCCCTCTTTCCCAGACCAACCTACCTCACTAGCTAACTAACCTATTGTTATGGGGAAGACAGGAGGAGGAAGGAGTATTGTATGTGCTCGAGTTATTTATAAATATAATAAAGACCAACCAACAAGAAAACCTCAATGCAAATTTCTGCTTCTGCAGATCTGCTCCCTTCCCCTTCCAAAAATGGTCCGGCTCCCTTAAACGGGCTGGATTTCACCCGTTCAGTGCCTGAGAGGGGGAAGCCGACTCACTGAGCAGCTCGGCCTTCTTGACCACAGCTTTGATGTAATCCGGACGTTGCATCAGGGCCTTGTCCAGCAAGGTCTTGGCTTTCTCCTGGGCCACGGGGTCCTCCAGACAAACGGTGGCCAGGAGCGTCAGCGTCTGAGCGTTGGCTCCCAGGGTCTTGTAGACGTTGTTGGCCATCACGGTGGCCTCGCGGAGGCCGTTGGAGGCCAGGTAGCATTCGATGAGGCCTGAAGGGCAAAAGAGGCCGATGGAGAAGCAGCAAAGAGGAAAGGAGGGTTCCTCGGCTCAGAAACAAAGCCGTGGCCAAGTTCAGCACAAGGAGTAGAAAGCTCCAAGCTTCAGAGGGGTCTCAAAGATGTTTCCAAAAGGCAACTGAACTTCCTTGAAGGTTTTTTTCCCTTGAAAATGTTTTGCTCCTCATCCAAGAAGCTTCTTCAGTTCTTGAAGAAGTTTCTGGGATGAGAAGCGAAACGTTTCCAAGGGGAAAAAACCCCAAGGAAGTCCAGTTGCCCTTTGAAAAGCAGCTTTGAGACAACCATGACTTGGACGATTGAGAATCCCCAGAAACCTCCAGAGATGCCCCCCAATCTCTGCCCAGAAGATCAGAGGTGCCCCAAAAGGAAACCGAGAGCCTCAGTTCCCAGCCGCTGGGGATGTTCAGGCTGTCAAAATATTCGCCCCGCGCTGTCGCTCACCTTCGTAGCAGTCCAGCCGGCACGGGGCCAGCCGGATGGCTTCGCGGAAGTGGATGATGGCCTCTTGCACTCTGCCCATGTTCCGCAGGGCGGCCCCTTTCAACAGCAGGGCCTGCACGCTGTTGCTGTTCAGCTGGATGGCTTTGGCCCCCAGGTACAAGGCCCGAGAGTAGCGCTTGCTGTAGAAGCTGTGGCAGCTGTGGGAAGGAGGAAGAGGCAGCCCTCAAGACGGAGCTCGGATGGATTCTGAACACTTTGGGGAAAGGAGGGGAACGGAGGCTGTTACCCTGAGACCACCCAGGGCTCTGCATGTTGGTCAGAGATGTTGAACAGCCGGCATCCGAGGTTTTCCACGTCCTCCAGGCGACCCTCCCGAGCCAGTAAGTAGCCATAGACGTCCATTCCTAGGAAACACAAAGGAAAGAAAAATAAACTTCAAAAGAACAAGAAAACTACTAAAAAAAACACCCTATTTAATCTGGAGAGATCCCAGGATCCAAATCCATCCATCTCTTACAACGAAGGTGCTTAAATATGGCTAAGATTATCTCTCCCCCCCCCAAACATATATCTGGAAATGCCGGCAAAGGGTTAGGAGAGCCCCTTCATTGGTACGTCAATTTGCAAAACTATAAAACTGGAAATCTCTTTTATCGTAATTTAGTTTTTAAATGGAAAACATTAAAATTCGTATTTTAATCCTATTCATTATCCCTGAGTATTCTTGCCCAACACAAAATGTAAAAAGCCTTTAATGTTTTGTGCAGTAGTGGTGCAAAGAGTTCCCCTTGCTGCTAATGTTATCAGTGTTCAACTGTACATTTTTTTTGACCAATTAACAACTCAAATTTAACCATTTGCCTAATTTTATGAAGCATCATGAATTTGCTCTAATTCTTCTTTCATCTTCACTGTCACTATAAATCTAGTATTTCTGTTTTATTATAGCAGCAATCTTTCCTGGGAAGCAAGACCCAGGAATTTAAGAGTGGCTGATTTCTAAGGCTTGAAATTGCAAATTGAATGAAGGATTCAAATAGTTGTCCCTATTTTCTGGAGACTTACCTTTTATTAAATAGGGATCCAACATTTGGGCCTGTTCAAATTTTAGAATGGCGTTCTTGTTATCCCCGGCTCTGAAGTACAGGTCTGCTAAACTGCCCAATATATCCACATTGTCTCTCAGGAGTGACTTTTTCTCCAGGGAGCTTTTGGGGAAAAACAGAAATGGAAAAATCAGAATTTGCTGTAAAACACTATTCTGGAGTACGCGTCTATAACGAATGCAGGGACATTCTGTAATCTGGAAAAAGGTAAAATGCATTCTAGATTTTATAGTTTGCATTTTGGCTCCCAGAACTTCTCCGAGCCAATCAGATTAAACCACCAGCAACGGTGCCTCTCCATGGGAATGCTCACCAGATTGTGTTGATTGCTCTGGTGTTATCGCCCGTGTGCACAAACGCGTACGCTTTGATCCACACCGAAAGCCAATCCAGATTCGGGATGCTCTGAATTACGTTCATGGTCAAGGAAGCCACTTCTGCACCCTTCACCGAGAGCGACAACAAGCCTAGATGAGGACAGACTCTTATTATAATTTCCAGGCTGACAAAAGCAGGCTGAACGCAATCAGACCAGGTTTGAGAGTTTAACGGGAGCTGAAGCCCAGCATGGCAGGAACAGACCAAGGACATTTCAACCAAAATAATTCAGTTTTGGTAAAACTGAACTACCAAAGTAGTTTCCTACCATTCCTGCACTTAATCTCCTTATCTCCAAAGAGAGTAAGATCGCTGAAAAGGCACAAGTACATTACGCTCACTTGGAAGCCTTCCAGCATCCTTTCCCTGAAAATGTTGACACTCGGCCAGACCTTGATGTCAAACTAGCCAACTTTACTCCTTGCCAACAGCGACAAGCAATGGGGGGGAGCTACCTAGAATGGCATCGAGAGCCAGCGGGCACTGCCTCAAAACCTCCTTGTAACTGGTCACCGAGGAACGTTCTTGGCCCGTCTTCTTGTACAGGCTGGCCAGCATCATGTTGATCTGCAACAGACAGGCGAAGGAGCAACTGCAGCAAAACTCTCGACCAGAAGCCCTGGAGTGTGAGCATCTCAGGCATCAGGAAAAAAAATCTTTCCCGGGTTCAATCCATGGAGAGGAACTTACCTTGGGCGTCCTCTGCCTGGAAGGGATGCCATCCAGGACGGCAATGGCGTCTTTGTCTTGCTTTAACATGGTGTAGCACTCGGCCATTTTGTATTTCACTTCGATTTCAGAAGGCAGACACTAGAAAAAAAACAGGGGTGTGTTTAATGGTTTGCAGCATCAAGATTTGCCCTCTGTTTAAAGGGTCTCCTGCTTGAGTAGGGGGTTGGACTAGAAGACCTCCAAGGTCCCTTCCAGCTCTTATTATAAGTGTAGGAAGGGGGTCAACCTCCTAAGTAATCATGATTAGAACCAGGCTGGTGGGCCCTGCACCCACCTGGCTCTGGGGAGTGGAGGCTGCGCTGCCGGGGGAGGGCCGGACTTTGGAGGTCTTGCTCAAGGCCTTCTTCTGCTGCAGGGCCATGGTGTACTTGCTGACGGCATTGCGGTACTCCTTATCGTGGAACAGGGAGTCCGCGTGGTGAACCAGCAGCTGGTACTTCTGCGAGGGGGAGAACAGCTCCCTGCAAGAGAGACCAGAGGGACCTGGAGTCAGAGTCAGAGTCAGCCTTCCCCTGCACACCCACCCTGCAAGGTAGGCCAAACTCAGAGAAAATACAGCAGGACCAGCCTCTGGGAGGCAAACCCTACCGCAAACATTGGCAAGGTCAGGTTTCCCCCACCCAGCTTCCTTCAGCTACAACTCCCATCATCCCCAGCCCCAACACCCACCTTCTGGCCAGATTTGGTACCCTCCGTGCCTAGATTCCCTATCCCATCCTCCTGAGCCAGCCTCCCATAGAGTCTAGAGCAGTGCTTCTCAACCTTGGCAGTTTGAAGATGGGGAAACTACAACTCTCAGAATCCCCCAGCCAGGAATTCTGGGAGTTGTAGTTCCTCCCCATCTTCAAGCTGCCAAGGCTGAGGAGCACTGAGGAGCCCATCATCCCCAGCCCTAGTGAAGAGGAGACTGTGGGCTGCGGTCTCCTGCCGATCGCTGCGTGGCCTCCTTTCCCCGCTTGCCCTGCTTCGCTTCCGGGGCGCCGCCTCACTCACGGGTTGTTGCCGCTCATGGTGAGCAGGAGGCCGCTGAGCAGCCGCACGTTGGAGTGGAGCCCGGCGGCCGCCATCTCCCGTACATGGTCCACGACGCTCATGGCGGCGGAGAAGCGAAGCGGCGGCGGCGGCGACAAGACTCTAAAATGGCGCCTCTTCGCCGGGTCCTCGCGCGGAGGGCGGCCATGACGCCGGCCGCCACGCCCCCTCGTTGGGGTTGTCTAACTCACGCCTGTCAGAAAAAAACACCAAAAAAACACCAAAAAAACAGCCGCTTTTTCCAGAAGGAAAAGCGCCACCGCTCCGCGGATTTACTCTCCTCTTCTAGAACGTATATATATATCAGTGTACAGTCTTTATCGTTTCTCTAATTTGGGAAAGGTTTACAACAGGCACTGAGCTAGACAGCTTGCAAACGGGAGACCGGTACCTTCTGAGCATGCGCGGAAGAGAACCCACTTCCTTCGCCAACCGGGCGCCCTCAGCACTGTAGCGCAAAGCCCTTCACCCTCTATATTTGTAGATAGGCAGTGTTGGGTCGTACCAGATCCTTGGCAAGAAGTATTTATTTGAAAATAAATAAGGATGAGAGAGAGCTAGAACATTTTGCTCCTTATAGCAACAGGCTATTTATTGCTACAGCAACAGAGCTTTTATTTATTTATGCATTTAATAGATTAATGGACCCCCAACTCACACAGACTGAATCTTTATGCATGTTTTCTTGGAAAGAATGGCTTTGTGCTATGCAATTGTGGATCTGCTCCTTTCTTGCCCTGCACTGCTTGCATGGGACTTAAACTTCGGAGCAGATGTACCCTGCAAATATATTAAAAGTTCCCAACAGTCTTTCCTACTCAATGCCTTCTGAGCGTCTCTCGTAATTCCCAGCCATTACGAATAATAGCTAAGCTCTTCCGAATTCAAGCTGGACAGCCTCAGAGCAAATACAGATAAAACACCATTAGAAAGAACTTTTATTATTATTATCAAGCTTGACAAACATTGCACATGATTTTTTTAAGCTCCGCCCTTCCTCCCATCAGTGGCCTTGCATCCAGAAACACCTTTTCTCTTTCAGTAGAAAACTTATATTAGAAGCAATATTATCTGACTATCCCTGGGAACAGAGCGCTTATAACCAAAGATCCAGCCGCTGCCGTCACTGTCCTGGTCCTGATAGGCTTTTGTTCATGAATTGCCTTTTCACAAAACAGGTCCACCACTAGGAGAGAAAAAGAAAAAAAAATAGTAACAGAAAGGCAGTTGTCACCAGAAACCACAACAGTCACTTAAACCCATTTTCAAGACCTGAGACCCACTTTCAATGAGCAATCTTAGATTGATACGGTCTTGAAATATACCCAATATTTCAACTATTTTTCTGTTCTTTTCTTAAGCATAAACAGGAAGAGCTTCTCACCTTGCTGGGTTTGTCACTCTGGGGATCAAAGACCTTTTCGCAAAGCCTCAAGCCGGTTTCTTGCCTCAGTTGCTGCAAATACCCTCGCATAACCTCTGAAAGAAGAGCACCCTCATCCGATTACAGCATTTGCAAGTTAAAGAATTAAAGCTTAAGATTCTCCCCTTTCTCCCAAACCACCAGCTTTTCTAGAAACTATTTTTTTTCCAAAAGATCTGGCTTTTCCTCTCTTATGTGAGCCCATTTTAAAGCAAGATAAGACCCTTTCTAATGGACGGATTTAAACCAGCCAGCCATACTTTTGATAGACTTTTGAATGGATGTTTAAATTGTGGCTCAAATGCAGGGCAACTGAGCTGACATGGGTACTTGATAAATGGATGAATCATCCAATTGAATAAAATAAACTCAGCATTCCTTTGTCAGTAGGAATGGAAAAATGTCTAACTAAATCTTAATTTTCAGTGACATGGAAAAAGCAGTTCCAGGAAACCATGGCTGGGTTGCATATTATTCCACTGCTATACACAGAAGTGAGCTGCACAAAACTCAGGTGTTCTTATATCTAACTAGCCATGTTTGTGAATGAGATTGAGTACAATAGCTTGCAATTTTCCCTTTTTTCCAACCTGCTTACCTTCTTCCTGTTTACTGCTGGGTCTGGCGTAAAGAGCGTTCAGTGGGAATCCCGGTTCTCCAGGCATCGGGAAATTGGTGATCCCCAAAGTATACATTTCTTTTTCCCCCTGGCCTTTGGAATTGCACTGAAAATAAAATACAAAATGAAAATAAAAACAAAAACCAATTTAAGTCCGTTTCTCTCTGAAATAAGCTTTTAATTTATTTTTTTAGTGGCAGGGTCTGTTTTAGAAAAGGAGAAAATGTCACAGTCATCTTACAGTTCGTATTACATTTTATTTATTTGGATTTTTGAGTTTATTTTATTTTTTTTACTTAAAAAAGGCACTGCTTTTTATTTTAAAGCACCGCAAAACCTCCAGCCCCCCCTTACCTTCTGTAACTTTTTCAAACACTCCGAAATATAGAGAGTGATGTAGATCAAGGTTCTGTCAGCCTCATTCTGCAAGAAAGAAAGAATTTAAGATGGAATATCAAGCCGGCTATTTTCCCCTCTCAAAAAGGAACTCTAGCCATTGATTTTATTTTTCTATTTAATCTGTCACTAAGAGACTTGAGGGGTCATTTTTAAGTCCACTTCCCCTTACCTTGATTTCATAATTTTTAAAGAACACATTGGCTTTGAAGTAGTAGATGGCTTCATCAATTATGTCCGTATCTTTCGCTGGTAAGAAAGAGGGAAACACAATGTCTTTGGAGTCATCACGAAAGAAAGGAAATTTCCTAAAAAAACCACCCACAAACGTCTCCCCCCAAGGAAGCTGTTGTAGCAGGATACGTTCATTTATTGATTACTAACACTTCTGTGCCGCACAAAAACCCCAGAGGATTAACAGCAGCACAATGACAACATCTAGTGTTATAATAATGGCACTAACCAACAGGAGTGGGTGCAAAAATCCAAAGTATATCTCCAAATATTCTCTCAAAGAACCAAGGATTTTTCAATCAATTGGATAGTCGGCTGGGGAATTCTGGGAGTTGAAGCCCACCCGCATTAAAGTTCCTAAGCTGAGTAATCCAGTGTTGGGAGGCGAGGACAAGGCAGAGGAGATCCGCCCCGAAGGGGACTTACTTTCACGAGGAGCTGGTCCTTTGAACTGACTCCTGATCGGAAACAGAGCCATGTTCCCCACGAGTTTGGTGTCGGGGTCCATCAAAGTGGAGTGATAGGCCTGTGAGGGAAAAGAAGGGTGGTGGGGGGTTGATTGACAGTGAAGGAGGACCATGCCTGGGCAAAACCGTGGGTGGCTTTCTCCTTAGAAACGTTCAGAAGATGCCACCCCCAGATCTGCCTGGAGAGCATGAAAGCAACTAGAATCGTCAAGGAGGGTCTGCAACCTACGGCCCACCAGTTCCAACCTGGCCTGAGGGAATAACCACCCACTCATCCCCAACGCCCAGGGTGGGCAGCGAAACAGGACGGGGTTCTTTTCCCGCAGGGCTGAAAGGGGTGGGTGGGAGAGCAGGCAAGACCCATCCCCACATGCACAATGACACCCATGTTCAGCAATGCACTTCCTGCTTCCCCACCTCAGGCCTGGTGAGCAGGCAAGCCCCACCCATGCACAACCACACACCAAAAGACACACTCAGCTTTGTGTTAACTTTTGTGCCCATCATCCTTCCAGCTTCCTTCACTCCCCCCACCCCCACTCAGCCAGCCTGCAACGCCTCCGCCTTTGCTCCCCGCTTGCCCGGCCCGCCTTGCAAGCGGCAGCCCCTCCAGGCGACCCTCGGGCCGGCTGCCCCTTCCCCTCACCGGCATCTCGGTGGCGGCGGCGGCTCTTCCGGGCAGGGACGCGGCTTCGGGCGAGGCGATGTCCGGGCAGCAGCCGCTGTGCGAAGGCGGCTTCGCTTCCTTCCTCTTCTAGCTGCGCGCGGCCGGCAGGGGGCGTCGGAGGACACAGCGCAGCCGGCCCAGGCTCGGCGGACTTCAACTCCCAGCATGCCTTGGCGGGCGCAGGCGCATTGTAGGAAGTGAAGGCCAGCACATCGGGCAATGCTAAAGCGCTGGAGAGCAGACTGAGCATAGAAACCTTTGTAAAAATTTAATTAGGCATTTTTTTTGGACTTTGGGAGATTCCCCATTGAAATACATCCTCCCTGCCTTAGATAGATGGCCATATTAATTATTATTATTATTTATGAAACTTGTATGTCACCCAATTTCCAATGACTGGTCTGCACAGTCAGCCAGATGTTCAGACTGGATTTGGTCATTTTTGTTCACTTATCAAGTCCTTCCTAAGGACTTGGGCGAGGCAGGTGTTATTGTTTAATAATATTAAAGGTATCACTACGGGATTGTTATTTTAATTTATTAAAATTATATGCCACCTGAATTCTCAACGACTTTGGGTAGCTCACACACAACCGAAGAAATGACAATAAAAACAATTTTTAAAAAAGCAGCAAGGGCCATGAACTGAGGGGACGTCCTTTTCCTTTGTTAGGATGAAAATGGTTTTTGGGTCCCCTTTCCTGATCTCCAGTGGTCTCTAAATAGGGAATTTGGGAGGTCAAAGTTACACCTGTTGAATTTCATCCTGCATATAACTGCAATTGGCATAGTAATAATAATAATAATAATAATAATAATAATAATAATAATAATAATAATAATAATAATAATAATAAAAAAGTTGGAAGGGACCTTGGAGGTCATCAAGTCCAACCCCCTGCTCAGGGAGGTAACCCTATACCATTCCCAAAGATTACACCACACACAATTGCAATAAAATAATAAGCTTGTCTGAGTTTTGGCCCTCCTTTTTTTTTTCTAAGTAAAACAAACCACAGTACTTTAAATAATGTCAAAGCAAACCTGAAGTTTCTTTTCCGTTCACTCGGAAAACCACCAAGAGGAAGAAAAACGAAACACAATAATTTATTTCTTATAATGCATACTTAACACCTTCCAAAAATAAAACTCTGTGGCGCGATCCATTTTTACACGTTAAACCCCTTGTGGGCAAAGAGCCCCGTTCTTCGATTGCTTCCAACAGTTTGTGAGTTTTGAAATGCAGCGTGGAGAAACGCAACACCTTTTTCGGTGCGTTTGAAGGAAATCGAAACCTTTCATTCATCCACTCGATCCTGGAAGAATTCATCAAAAGCTGAAGATTTGTCTTCCTCTGTTTCCTGTACAAAACACAGCATTTCATTTTAGAAATTATTTAAGCTTCCTCCTTGCCTGCTTTACACTTTGAGAAGTTGTGTCCCTCCCAGCTTTCAGGCAGAGAGTTCTAATCCCAACACCGTTTCTTTTTAGCTGGCGGTGTGTGTGTGGGGGGGATCCAGACCGAATTTCTGGATATTAATATAACCCACATTTGTCTTATTAGTTCAGACTGAACTAAGATGGACTAGAATTGGCGGTGGATCCTTAGGGAAAATGACGCCGCCGGCTTTTGCCCAAAGGGTTTGGCACCTTCACCTTTGGCTCCTTAAATTCCAGGTCTTCCCCGTACTGAATGGCGAAATCAATATGTTGCAGGACGATGCTGACGCTCTCCTCGTCGGAGCGATCGAGCGGCAGGAAGCGAACCATGCTGTAATCATCGATCTAAACGGGACACACCACAGACAGTCCGTTTGGAGAGAAGAAACCGGATCGGCTATTATGAACCTCATCCTTCTTCTCTTATTCAGGATTTGGGAACTAACTTCCCCATTTTCCGCAAATAAGGGCGCTGTTACTTTTGGTCAGGGAGCCACGTGTCGAAACAAACACCCACCACCTACCAAGCCACAGATAGCTTTGGTTAATTTCTTAAACCGCCTGCTTTTGAGCAAGTCTGTCGAATCATCCAGGGAAGAGTACATGTCTGGATCCAGATATCTGGAAGAAATTGACTAGATTCATTAAACCGACAAAAGCATCAATGTTAGTTTCATTTTTTTCCCCTTTGCCTCTTCAGGGCTTTTTTTAAAAATTGCACAATTTCTTTTATGCCTGGCAAGAAGTGAAATCTAGAAGATCAAATCAGGACTGAACCAACCTCCCCAGGGTCAAAATCCCCCAAATTCCCAGGCAAAGCGGAGCCCTTCCTCGCTCACACATACTTTTCGATCTCGTTTTTCGCTTTCTTGCTCAGCAAATCCATCTTGGACATGACATTAACCTGGGGAATCTCTAAGGAAACCATGGCACTGAGAGCTGCCATCGCACCGGAAATAAACTATCATCAGAAGGAGACAGGGCAGAAAAAGAAAATCACACAAGGTCTGTGATTACCGCATTCCTCAAAATGTTATCTAATGAACACCCACAAAAGGGTCACTGCAAACGGAAACAACTGATAAAACAAAATGAATAATAATATCTCGCTGGCCGTCCACAGCAGGAGGTTTCAATTTTCAACACCTCTGAATCAGGAAGATACCTTAAAAGATTCCACCATGAATTGAGAATCGACAAGGAAAACACCACAGACGTGAAATTCCCACTGTTGCAGCTTCTCTACAAATTGTTTCATCACAGGCAAGTGAGTGTAGAGTTCAATCTGACCTAAAAACAAATAAGTTTATTCGTTCCAATTCCACCGAAGAAAACCTCAAGGTCACTGCAGAGAAGATATTTAAAACTAGAAAGAATCAGACATCAACAATGCTAGACTGGGTATTTGTCTGTGCTGGAAGAACCAGAAAGAGATGAACTCTTTGACTCTCATAAAATGCGATATATCTTCCCTCTCTGCTTTATTATCGTGCTAAAGTTTACGGATTTCTTCCACACCTCCAAGGCCATAAAGTGCCAGAAAGATTACAGCCACTGAATTTCCACAGCTTCAAAATTTTATTCATTTACTTATTAAATGATCGTGCTGTCCATCTCCCCTATAAGGCATGAATTAAAGCCCATTTTTAATCTAAAGTCAAACAAAACAAGTGCCAAAGATCCTCATTCTTCATCCAAGAGTCCAGGAACTGTATCCTACACCTTTCCTCAGCTTACCTGGGCAATCGAACAGGATGTAATCGTCTTCTACGTGACCAAGGCATTCTTCCAGCCAATCAAAATTGTTCGCAAAATATTCCATGCAAAAAACTAAGCCGCCGTTGGGGCCGAACCGGAGGGAATCATCTTCCATGACATCGTCCACTTCAATCAACTCTCGGATATCTGAAAGATAAAGGGGTGGGTGGGGGAGGAGGAGGAGGGACCCAGCCTATATAAATTCCCAAGGTGCTGCTTCTTTCTCAACCCAACAGGTCCACTGGAGGTCCCAGGTAAGCCCCAGTCTTAAAACAGAGACCCCTTTACCTGCCATGACATCGTAGTTGAAGTGTTCTGCTGCTGGATCGAGGTTCACAACCTGCACAGAACGGTTGAGGGCTTCGCAGTGCTGGACCATGATGGAGCAATAGGTGCTCTGGAAGAGGAGAGAAATCAAGGCACAAGGGAAAAAAGGATGGATCTGGAGACAGTGGAACTACCAGCCACTAGATGGGTGGGTGGACTTCAACATGCTAGCTGGGCAATTCTGGGAATTAAAGTCCACCCATCCATCTAGTGGCTGATAGTTCCACTGTCTCCAGATCCACCCTTGGCCATCTTCAAGTGGCCCAGCTTGAAAAACATGGCCCCCTCCCACGCAAGAGACCTTGTAGCCCCCAAGCCAAAGCCGCGTGCCCCCCCCCCGACTCACCTTCCCGCTCCCCGCAGGCCCCATCACCAGCTGGGCATAGCGAGGCATGGCCACCCCCGGGCCAAGAAGGCCGCCCCCGGAATAAGGGAGGAGGGGGGGAAAAAGACGACAACGAATGTGAAGTCGCTTGATCCAAAGAACGACCCGTAGCCGCCGCCTCGGCCCTTCCTTCCCGTCGCTCTATGGTTTGCGGCTCACTTCCGCGAGCACAGCGACTCCCAGGGAGGAAGAGGAGAAAAAGCCGAGGAAGAGCAGCTGAGGTTTTCCCTCTAGTCCGCCACGACCTGCGGCGCTCTCGCGAGATTTCCCACCTGGCTGGCTGCCTGCCTGCCTGCCTGCCTGCTGCTGCTGGACGTCCGGCCAAGCCACCCGCCTGGAGGGGCCGTGCGGGTAAGGGGGCGCTCGGGGGAGACCCGGGGTTCCCCGCCTTTCCCCAGCCCGGGATGGGCATCCCATCGCTCTTGGCTCGGGCATCTCGTGACGCCCCCCAACCACCCAGGAGGTCCTCTTTCTGGGGGGGGGCTTTGCGGGGTTCCCTCGGGGTCTGGCTGGGCCGCCCTTTGGCGGGGGGGGGTTGTTGGGCACCTTTCCCAGCTCTCGCCCCCCCCCCCCCATTTGGCATCCTGGCTCCTCCTTGGCAGTGTTGCAGACCACACTTTCTAGATTGGGGTGCAACTGCTTTGGGCTTCCTTTGGGGGGGGTCTCCCGTCCAAGAATGAAGCAAGCCCGATTGTACTTCACAATCAGCCTCCCCTCTGCCTTCCTCTGACACCAGCATTTGCTTGTGAATATTTTTTTCTGATTTGCACAGATTCTCCCTCCTCTCCCCCCCCAAAAAAGTCACGCACCTGCGAGTATCCCTCACCTTGCCCAGCGTCCTGGTGTCCCCTGAAGTTGGGATTTCAGAAGAATGTAGGATCTCTGCCAGCAGCCGGGAAGAGGCTGGCTATTGTGGTCGCTGAAGTTCCACTCTGGGGGGGTCCTCAGGTTGGAGAAGGTGGCCCCAATTCTCTCCGAATTTTTCCTTGGAGGAAAGTCATATGCAGAAGTAGACCAATAGTAGAGTAACCTGGCAAACAACGATTTCAGAACACACAGATTGGCAACGAGTTTCACAAGCCCTCATTCATAGGCCGCTTTTAAGTTTTCTGCCTTTATGATCCCTGGAGGTCAATCGCCTGTCTGTTTCTAGGTTTGGCGTTTGAACTGAAGGTCTCTGGTTTCTGGACTGGGGAGACGGCAATGGAGACGGCAGAGCCTGTGGTCCTTGACTCCCAAGGAGACCAAAGATGTAATGCCAGACCAGATACAGACTATCCCCTTCGGGTGCTGTACTGTGGAGGTAGGTGTGAAAAAGACAGCTTCTTCATAAGCTACCAGTGGGTTTTCTTTCCACTTATCCTAGTTCAGGCTACTTGCAGATTATCCAGGTTTGGACAGTAGAAAGTGCTTTATCTAGAACAGTGTTTCTCAACTTCAGCAAATGTAGCTAGCTGGGGAATTCTGGGAGTTGAAGTCCACATATCTTTAAAGTTGCTGAGGTTGAGAAACACTAATACAGATATCTCCTGTGTATTTTAAAAATGAAAATAGGCATTCACAAAAAAAGAGAGGAATTAATACATTATAAGTTAGCATATTCTACAAAATGGTGTTCTGTAACTAAGAAAATGCAAGTCATGATTGTAATTAGAAAGGCCAGCCTTAAACATGGGATAAAAGGCTTGCAGGTTTTCTGATATTATCGGATCACAGCTTCCAGCATCTCTTTTCATCGGCCATGCTGGCTGGGGCTGCTGGGTATTGTGGTATAAATGCATTTTGAGATACCTTGTCTTAAATAGATTTTTTTTAAAACTGGATTATACAAAAGAACATTATCATTGCTTTAAACTCTTCCTGTTTTCTTTCCCAGTCTGTTCCTTGCCAACAGAGGTGAGTTGCTTTCATTTTAGCTTTTGCTTGATTTGTGCAAGAGCTTTTAAAAGAGAGCTTTTAAAAAATATTTATCTTGTATAAAGATTTAATTGGAAATCACGGTTAGAATTATGCCAGCTCAGCCTATTCACAGTTGCATTGATCTCACTAAAGATGGCTAAAATAGCTTTTATTATAAAAAAGGATCAAGTAGATTCTCCTTTCCCTGTGTGGAAAGATCTATAACATGCATTTGCCCAAAATGATTTTTTTCTCTGCCCTTACATGCAAGTCCTGAAGCCATTCTAAAGAAATAACTTTACTCTGTTTTTTCCCCCCTCCAGTATTGTGAATACATGCCTGACATGGCAAAATGCAGGCAGTGGCTAGAGAAGAATTTCCCAAAGGAATTTGCGAAGCTTACTGTAGGTAAATACTCTTTGTTACCTTTTGAGCGTGAAATTTCTTTCTTAATCCTATCCTCGTTTGTCTGGGAAACCATTGCATTAAATCCAGTGGGATTTTCTGGGTTTCAAAGAGGACTCCAAAGTTGCATTTTGTGAGAAAATAATACCAATAGGTCGGCTTAATTTGCTAAATGGAAATAACTCTCAGTAGGATCATCGTAAGGGAGCCTCATTAAAAAAAGCCCCATAAAGAAATCTATAACCACTTACTTTATTTGTTTGCAAGACTCCGATATTCCTAATAACTGGGTATATTTGAATTCCAGAAAACTGCCCTAAACAAGAATCTGGCATCGGAGAAGGCCAAGGAACGATCGGTGAAGAGGAAGAAAAGAAAAAACAAAAGAGAGGCAATGATTAGCTGGATTCAGCTTTTTTTCCTTTATAAATGCATGGCTCAGTTTTTTCTTCTGGTACCGTATCGTCCGGGATTAGAACTCCAGACACATCTGGAGCACCCCAGGCTGGGCAAGGCGAGCTCAGCTGTTGCTGGGGTGGTGAGAACATAGAATCATAGGACTGGAAGGGACCTTGGAGGCCTTCTAGTCCAACCCCCCTGCTCAAGGTAGTTTGAGGTGACTTTGTAGACAGTGAGAGAGTCAGCTAATCCTTTTTTGCATCCGGCAAGCTAGATTTTGAAAAGCTATTTATTCCCTTTCCTTTTCTGCATGCTTGCCAGGTGGAAGGGGTCAGATAAAACAGAAGAAAAAAACGGTGCCTCAGAAAGTGACGATAGCAAAAATCCCCCGAGCGAAGAAAAAATACGTCACACGAGTATGCGGTCTTGCGACTTTTGGTGAGTGAAGCAAAACCACGTTTTTACAGAAGTCTCTGGGCTCAGTCGAGATCAGCTAGTATTAAAGACAAATTTATCTCTGGAGCAGCTTGCAAGCTGCCAAGGAGAGCGGGCTGGGACCAGTTTTTCAAAGCTGCGAATCTATATTCTAAAAACGATGCGAGAGTCCCCTTTGGATGTGGGCCTACAATTTTGGGCTTCAAGTCTGGATAGAGAGCTTTTTCTTCTATAATCTGACTCGGTTGTTTCGCACCTGACTAGGCGGGATTCTGGGATGGCTCACAATCCTGTCACTGTGTAAAGACATTGGTGGTTTCGGACATAGTTTGTCGAAATGGGCAATGTTAAGGCAGGTGGACTTCAACTCCCAGAATTCCCCAGCCAGTGTAACATAGCTAGCTGAGGAATTCTGGGAGTTGAAGTCCATCTGTCTTAACATGGCCCGTTTTGAAAAACCCTGGCTTTAGATAGTGGTAACCGAGTAGCAGTGTGTCTTGATCTTTTCTTTCTTTTTCTCTTCTCCAAACAGAAATAGATCTTAAGGAGGCACAAAGGTTCTTTGCTCAAAAGTTTTCCTGTGGTGCCTCCGTCACCGGAGAAGATGAAATCATTATTCAGGGAGATTTCACAGATGATATCATCGAAGTGATTCAGGAAAAATGGCCCGAGGTAATACACCAGAGCTCATCTGAGTGGCTTTCTGTTAAAAAGAGCTTTTCAACTTGGAATTAAAGGAATTTATCTTCTTCCCACCCCCAAATAATCTTTCAAATTCAAGGTATTCAGTTAATTTCCATAGGATCCTTTCTCGTGTGATAATACATTTGACCTTCTGTGCTGCAGGTGGATGATGACAGTATCGAAGATCTAGGAGAAGTAAAGAAGTGAAGTTGCTTTGGAAAACAAGTTCCTGCCTTTTGTGGACAAACCCCTGGTTCTAGCCAATATAGTCCAAGTGGGACTTTCCTCCTGTCAGACCTGTTGAAGAGGCATGTTCCCTTGGTGGCATTTTTACTGTTGTCTATTTGCTGCTTTTTATTTTTTTTGTCTGTGATACATTTTTTTTTTTGCCAAAGTTTAAACTTGGGGAAAGAGAGAGTATCATGCTTTGGCTGGAAATAGAGATTTAATCGAATAAAGAAGTTACTGTTCTTTGCTGTGTGTGTGTCCTTCGTTTTCTTAACTCAAGGTTTCAACCCAAGTTGGCAGCTTCCTTGAAAGTGAGGCCTGGCCTGATATGTGATCATAGCCGCTAGGGATGTGCCACAAGGCTGGTCTTGAAATAAAAGTGACTTTGGTTTTCCTTGCACAAAGAACCCTGCCTCTTTAAGACTCTGGCGAAGGCTAAAAGCTTGCAGATTTTCCCTCTCTGAGCCAAACCCCCATGGGTGAAAAGTTCTCAGAGCCAATGGATGAAACTGAGGTTCCCCTTTCCTCTTTGGGCCAAAAAAAAGGTTTAATTTCACAAGCAAAAAAAAAAAAAAAAAAAGCTGACTTCACAAGCACATAGCGCAACTGATGAAAGTGAGGTCCGGAAAAGCAGATTTTTATTTTTTACTTTTTTGTGATTCAGTCTTGCAAGAAATCTCTTTTGCACCTCCTCTATCTTTCAGCAACAGACTCCTTTCCAGACCCGGGAAGGGGGGGAGAGACCGGCGGGGAGTGTGTTGGGAGGGGGCATAAAGGGGGCGCGGGGGAAGGGGAAGAAAGGCAGCCGCGATGGGGCAGCCGAGAATCACGCGAAGGAAACTCATCCCGGAGCCTCCAACCGCCCCTCGCGCTGGGAACTTCCCGAAGACTGGAACCGGCGCGGACCTGAGGCTCCGAAGTCTTCCCTCCGGTCCGCCCCGCAGCCCTCGCGCTGCTGCCGGACAGGTGAGCGCCGGCCAGGTTGGCCTCGCCCGAAGGAGCAGCCATGGGGAGCTCGGGGGGGGGGGGGGAGGCGGCCGGCAGGTATCCCGGAACTCGTTTCTCCTGTAGACACGGGATCACCTGCCTGGGGCTATGTTGGGTGTATGTCAGGGTTTGTGTATGGCACCAGGAACCTGGGAGGAGGGGGCGGTTGTTGTTTACACGGGCTGGTGGATCTTTGTGTGTGCAGATGTGGGTTCACACGGCTGGGCGTTTGTCTCTGTGTGTGTATTAGCCTCTGGGTGGCCTGTAAGTAATGTAGGATTGTGTATTTTCACGTGGCGGTGGATTTCTGTGTGTTGATGTGAGTTCAGTGTCTGTGGATATGGGTGTGTATCAGTGGTTGTGTATGATACAAGAAACATAGGCGTTTGCGTATAGAGGTGGGTTAATAGGTCTGGATGTGTGTTGTATTACTGTGTATTACACGGGGAATTTCCTCCGTTTTTACCTCTTTCCCCCTTACTCTATTTTCTTTCAGATCATTTTGTATTAGAGCTACTATTATAATCAACCCTAAATTAAAATTTCTATCTATTAAAACAACCCCGGATAACAGAGTTTCTCTGTGCTACACCTGAAATGAAGTTGGCTTATTTGACCCTGTTCTGATCTCAGAAACCTGATGAATTCTTCACTGGGCCTTTCCAGTCCCTTCCAGGTAGGGAAATGTGAAATATGAAAATGACGTTGGCGTTATAGGTTACCGTTCACAATGCCCGGATCAGCCTAGAGAACTGGGTAGGGGTATCTGATGTAATTTATCATAATACTGTAGTCCTCCTTCCTTAAGTCTCTCTTTCTGCCTTGTTAGAACCTCGCCTCCGAATCAGAGAGCGACATTGTTCAGAAACTGAGGAAGGAACTCCAGCTGCTACTGGCAGAGCTGAAAGATCGTGATAAGGAGCTGAACAGCATGGTGGCTGTGCATCACAGGCAATTTTTGGCTTGGGAGGACAATCGTCAGAAAATTCTGACCCTGGAAGAACGAAGCAGCAGGTTGGAAAGTGAGTCTCCCAAAGCCTAGGATGGTCAAGGACCTCAGCCTGTATAGGCATTGATGTTCCCATTTTCAGATCGTAAAACTGAGGCCGATGGTTCCACTGGCATAGTCCTAGGTACACCAGGGACTTATAACAAAGGTTAATTTGCACATTGGGGGGGCTAAAGGGGCTTGCAAGTGGATAATCCCAGTGTTGGCTAACAAGTTTGTGAAAAGTTTGGCTCTGTCTGATTTCATGGAGATTAAAAGCACTAACAAGTTAGGCTAATAGTCCGTCACGGCATCAGGTACATGATGGTTTCTTAGCCATAAAGCTAGGCTTATGCTCTACCCCAGCCTTCTAGAAAAAAAGCCACTTTCAAACCATGGTTTCTGGCCCATGTGGTTGTTGGCTTCACATACCTAGAATGTCAGATGGAGGGAAAACGTTCTACATTTGATTCACTAGGGAAGAACATTAAATGCAAGTGCATTTTTGGGGGGAAAAACACCACATTACTGTTTACCCCACACATTTACTAAGCTGCTTGTTGTCAGCCAGCAAGCAGGAATTTCAACAATTGACCTAAAGTCTTGTCCTAGAAATGTTGGCCTGCAATTGTTGACATTCCTCCTACGCCATGGAAATCCTGGAATGTTATGTTAGGTGTAGAATCCTTTCAAGAGATTCTCTAACAATAGTAGAGCTTCCCAATACTGTGTTAAACCCTCATCCTGAACTGTGCAGTTTTAAGGACAAAGAAATATGGCAGGTAGAACAATCTGAAAGTGGGCAGTGAGACCAGGATGTGGGTGTTCTTTTGGAGAATCGTGTCCTCCATCTCTTTTTTTTTCCAATGTTTAAATATTTTTTTCTCAATATTTATTCCAAATTGAATAGGCTGCTCCTGACTGGCTTAATTTAAAGCCACTCAGCCTCGCCCGAACCACAGCCGGGGTGGCAAATTAATTTGATAAATAATAAATAATTTGGGCGCGGCAGAGTTTCGAATTGTAATTTTAAAACGGAGAGATGGAGGATGAATTAAATGTGGGTTCACCACTGTTAACAAGATTTGAATTTCCCCTCCAGATGAGCTACATAAGAGAAATGAAATGATAACAACCCTGACGCAGAGATTAAAGCTGCTTGGATCCCTGCAGAATGACTGCAGTTCGACGCTCGAAAACACTCAGCAGAAGTTGCAAGAAGTGTCTCAAAAAGCCTCCGACACATCTCTTCAATGTCAGACCCTCGAGGTAGGCCACTATTATCATTTTGAATTTCCTACTATTTAAATGTACATGCCGATGACTTTCTGGGTGGCTTGCAAATGGTTCAAAACTCTTAAATCCAGAATACAACGTGAAACAAAGAAACAAAGAATAAAGAGGCAGAGAAAATAAACCCAGTTGGAAATAAAGAAAAAGAGAGAAGGGAGCTTGCATCCCACTCATCTTCAGCCTGGGCAAAAAGCCACATTTTCAGGCCCTTTAGAAGCACCAGCAAAGTGGGGGCCATTTAAATCTTTGTCTCTTGCAGGAACCTCCCATTGTTGCTGTATTTGCAGTGTGCAAATTTGTAGTGTTCCTTTCAAAATAAAATTATTGCTTTGTCCATTGGGAGGTCAGTGGGCTGCCCGGTCTCTTTGGGGTCCTGCAAATCAGAGATAAAGACATCAGCAAAGCTCAGAGTGACTTCACTGTGTTGATAGGATGGGATAGGTCAGTTCAGAGAAGATCCCCGCCTACAAGTTGACCTCCATCCTGTTCTTCTTCTCTCTTTTCTCTTTCTTAGGAGAAAAACCAAACCTTGGTTGGCTCCGTGATGGACCTCTCAAACCAAGTGGGTCAGCTTCAAGCTAGAGAGCAAGAGCTTCTGACGCTTTTAAGACTCAAGGTATTTTATTTGGGTCCTTGAAATGTTCCTGCAATTTTTTTTTTGCCCATCATTGGGAGGTTAAAAAAGGCACAAACAGATCCATTTGATGCTTTCTAACAGCGTTTCTCAACCTCAGCAACTTGAAGATGGGTGGACCTCAACCCCTAGAATTCCCCAGTTAGGGAATGAAGCTCTTTTAAGCTCTCCACCAATGAACCGTTTTTTGAAAGAAGCTCCTTGCTTTTCAGCAAACTCATGCACAACCCGGTTTATTTCTTGGTTTCGGTAGGATAATGATATCTTTGAAGCAACCAATCAGATCACTGAGTTTGCCAGCAAATTTAAAAAGTTAGAAAGTGCTCTGTGTGCCTCCAAGATGGAAGAAAGGAGTTTCAACGAGGAGAAACAGAATTTTAAACTCAGGCTGAAGGAAATGATGTTAGAAGCAAACAGACTGAAAGGTAAATTATATTTACGGCAGCCTGGGCAGCTTTAAGACTTGTGGACTTCAACTCCCAGAATTTTCCAGCCAGCCACGGAGCGGAAGAAATTTTGTCTGAACAGAATTGCTAAGAAAATTCAGGAGTTTGCTGTTTCTTTCTTTTTTTTAAAGGGGATCTCAGTGAAAAAACCAAAGAAAACAGCGCACAAAGGGAAGAAATTATACAGCTGAAGCAAGAAAACGTTTATCTAAGTCATGAATTAATGCTTACTGGTAAGTCTGAAGGGTTTCTGAGTCTTGAATTCTAAATGGCTCCTGATGAATTGAATGATTATTTTTAAAAAAAAATCACATATTTGATAAGCATAGGAATCAAAACTACTCAAGTAAAATTCGGCTCTTCCACCCCTTCCTTTCCCACAGCCGAGAGGGTGAGTCGAAAAGATCAGCTGCTTCTTTCCGCCAAATCGAAACAGCTTCGGACGGACACGGAACTGAACAATTTGAGGCAGGTCAGGATGTAAACAGAATTCTCTGAAAATTACTTTTTCATCCTTGGAAGTCTCTTAGGCCAAAGGTCCCCGAAATTAAAATCCCCACTTTTCCAAGGCTGAGGGCTGGTTTTGTCCTCTCTTGCCAGATCTACCTGAAGCAGCAACAGGACCTGCAGTTTCTGCATTTCCACCTGGAAAGTTCCCAAGAAAGCAAAGAGAAACGCGGGACGGAATCGCAAGATGGAAGGTACACAACTTTGCTGACTGGGGAGGGGGGGGGGGGAATTGCGTTGAAGTCGATTCCTAAAAATTCAAAGCCAGGCTGGGAAAAAATAATACAGATAATGCATAGTATTATTATTATTATTATTATATAATAATAATAATACATAGGTTCTTCTTTTCAGCCCAGGGATGGTTTTGTCGGACCTCGAGACCAGCGGTGAGCGAGACTCCCTCTGCGGCGAAGTCAGCCGGAAGATTCCCACGCATTTCGTCCACCTTCCCGACTGTCCTTTGAAAAAGGCCGGCCACCCCTGCCGAGCCCAGAACAGGCAGCAAGAGCAGCGGACGGAGCACATTCACGAAGGGCTGTTTTGCCATCCCAGATGCCTCCGTCGGGAAGAGGCGACGCCGAGCAGTCCCAGGAGTGCTGGGGAGATGGAGGACCGCTCAGCCGCGCAGCTGGACGTTCCCCGAAAGTCCAGATCCAGGGAGACGGTTTGGACGTCGGAGCTGAGCACGGTGACCCCTTTACCGAGACACAAACACTGGTTTGAAGCAAACTTCTGCGCAGCGTCCTCAGGCTGCCTGGCGCCCAGATTCTTCGACAAATCCGGCGGGGATTGCAAAGAGGCTTCCCCAGATCCGGCCAGAATCCCCCCTCGGCAAAGAGCCTGCGTGCCCCCCCACCTGGGGAGCCACGCCTGCGAATCAGGATGCTCGGCCTGCAGCGCCGTCCGTAAAGCCAGCCTCTACCAGGGCCTCTCAAAGCAGGAGTGGACCGAGATGCGCAAGCTGGCGGAGAATGATGGCAGTGGCTTATGGGGCAGGGAGTCATCCCCGAGCCCTCAGGATGCTCCCGAGTTGAAAAGGTTCTGTATTTCAGCTAAGCCTCAGGGTCTTTGGGGTTCACCTCTATTTTGTGGGTTTAATATGTGGACCTGTGTGTACAGGTCGTCCTGACCAGAATTTCCGTTGCTAAGCGAGGCTTAACTGAGGTGCCCAGAGGCGGCTCACCAACCCAGCCTAGCATATATCTCATTTTCTTCGTAAACAACTTGCCCAACAGTTAATAACCGTGAGATTTTTTGCTCTTGTTTTAACAGTGACCAGGACGGGACCCTGAACGGTTTTGACTGGGGTGCGCCCTGTTTCACATCGACCCTGAGGTCAAAGGAGATGAAGCCTGCTGAGATGCCTTCAGCCCTGGAGCACCCTTCGGACTTTCGGGGAACCTTGGGCTGCTGCCAGCTTCCCACCCATCGCGTAAGTATCTGCCGTCGAAACACAGCAACAGGCCCAAAATATTCTGGCTGTTGATCCCACCCAACCTGGCCCAAAATGATTGGCAGTGACTTCCCCAATTCTAGCTTCTTTGCAGCCACAACGAAACAAAACACAGCGAGGGGTTCTTGGGGCTCTCTGAGCTTGGTACTTTTTCTGCAGACTTTCCATGACCCAACTATGTAACACCATCAGTGCTGGAAGAGGATGGGGTTTGTGGAGTGGAGTGGAGGAAGGAGATGGGGAGGAAGGAGGAGGAGGAAAAGGAAGAGGACTATGGGGGGGGGGCTTCGTGCTCTCTGAACTTGGTTGTTTTCTTGCAGACATTTCTTTACCCAACTAGGGAACATCATCAGTGCTAGAAGGGAGTGTGGTTTGTGCTCAGTTTATTTTCTGGTGGCTTGCCTTGTCACTGACCGCTTTTTACAAGGGCTGAGTTTTTCCCGGATGGTTCCTGACCCATTTTGTTGGGCTTCTTCTAGGATGCCCGCTCACCCGACGACCAGCTGCAGCAGATGTGGGCCGAGACCCGGCAGATGGTCACCCACCTTGAGCACCGCCACCTGCTCAGCGCCGGCCCTCGCTCCAGCCCGACCAGCAGCCTCCATACAGTAGGGTTTTTTCGGCCTTTCCAACGGGGGGTCTGTAGGGTGAGGTCAAAAACAGAAAGATGGCGGCCATCACAGACCAATTGACGCCTTGCCTGGTTTTTATGTTGTTTTCGGTTCTTGACAGAAAGGGGACGATCCCAAATCCGTTTGTGAACGGAAGGTGCCCGTTGAGGAAGAAACCAGAATGAAACTTTCTCCTTTTGCTTCTCAAGTGAGTCCTCTTTTGCAGCCTGGTCTTAAATCCACCCAGCGCTCGGCAGCTCCAGCAAATCTGACGGCTTGCAAACCCCTGCCGGTCCTGATTTTTTTTTTAGCCGCCTAAGGAGAAAATATACAGTAATTGGCGATTGCAGGAATGCCAGCTGTTTGCACAGCAGTGGAAAACTTAAAAAAAAAAACCAAAAAACTTTCCAGTCCTGATACAAAGTCAGTTTTCAGCAAGGCAGCTCAGCTTATGAAGTAAATATTGTTTAAAAAGTATCCCCAAGGCTACGAGGGGCAGTGTTTTTCCAAATGCATAAAAACAGCAAAAACCTGAAACTAATTGGGAACGTGCGTTGGTTTGTTTTGCTTCATCCAAAGTTGATTTTTTTTTTCTTTTTAAGGCCAGCTGTCTTGTGTTTTGTCTACAACAGGAAAGAAAACTCTCTTCCTGAAGGCGGAATATCATCCCCGGATTGTCACCCGCCACTCAGTCTGGGGAAGAAAAAAAAATCCTCAAAATTCGTGACTCGAAGCTGGAAGTCCGTTCCCTTAACTATATATATATATATATTTTAAAAATTAGAATTATGCTGAAATGAATAAAAACTATTTCTAGAAATGTTCTGCGCAGATTAATTGCTAGCCTGCTCGGAGGGAGTTCACCGTTATGTATAATTTTATACAACGGGAAGTGTATTTTTGGGGGCTGGCTGTGTTTTCCTACCAGCTATTTATGGTGTGAAGTGAAAGTGTTTGTTTTTATTCGGTGCCTTTCACTGGGGGAGGGAGGTTTCCCTTAGGAAGGCCTGTTTATTGCTGGAGTCTAAGAATGGTACTTGCACCAGCTGTTATTCAGCAGGGGCCTTCAGAAAAGTCAAAATGGTGGCCGGCTCGGCAGGGGGATTCTGGGAGTTGAAGTCTGCTCATCTTAAAGGGCCCAAGTTTGAGAAGCACTGCTCCAAAGGGGAGCCCACCCACAGCCACCACCTCTTTCTGGCAAGCTTAAAGCTGGGGCTCAGCCTGATGGGACAGGTTCCTCCGGGGTTCCAGGACCACCAGCTTCTGCTTTCAGGCTTGCCCCACTTTTTTTCCCCAGGGGAAAAATAAAAAAGCTTTAATAGCCTCCAATTCACTGAAAAAAGTGAACGATGACACTTTTCCACACTTACGGCCACGGCAGCATCCCCGGGGTCAGGTGGTCAGAACTGGCACGCTTGGTCGCAGCCTCCCAGGGGGGTCATGTGATCCCCTTTGGCGGCCTTCTGACAAGCAAAGTCCAGGGGGAAGCCGGATCCCCTTCACAACCGGGGGACGAACTTAACAGGTGCAGCGATTCGCTTAGCGACTGCGGCAAAGGAAGTCGTAAAGCGGGGCAAAACTCCCTGAACGACTGTCTCGCTCAGCAACAGAAAGGCTGCTGGGCTCCGCTGTGGTCGTAACCCGAGGACTGCCCCGGCCAGAAGCCGCAGCGCCGCCAGCCTCCGGGTCGCACCGGCTGCTGCTTCTTCCCCGCCCAGCTGAGTCCCGCGGGGGCGTGGCCCGGGCGGGGTGGGCGGGGGGAGGGCGGCGGCGGATTGGCCGCCCTGGCGGGGGCGCGGCTCCCGGGCGGCTGGCGAGTGGGCGCCGCCGGGGGGCGTGGCCGGGCCGGCGCCACGCCCCCCGGGGCTCCCTGGCAGGCGCGGCGTCTGGCGGGCGCGGAGCGAGGCGGGCTGGAGGGCATCGCGGGCCATGAACACCATCAAGAACGTCCCGGCCCGCGTGCTGAGCCGCCGCGGCGGGCACAGCCTGGAGGCGGAGCGGGAGCAGTTCGACAAGAACCAGGCAAGGATGGGGATGGGATGGGGGGGGGCAGGCAGGCAGGCAGGGTGGGGGTCCCCTGCTTCCTGGGGGGGGGGGCTGTCAGGTTGCAAAGGGGGTGCACGCAGTCATCGTGGGGGAGGAAAGGAGACCCCGCGGTCTGATCAGCGCACCCCCCTCCCATAAAAGGGGGCCTGCCAGATGCATCTGCGCCCCCTCCCCGCCACATTGCAAGAGCCTCCCCCATGCATGCTTGCCTACAGCCGCCCCCCTCCAGAATGCATCCGATTTCTTCCCTGCTAAACCCCCCCCCCCGCATCTTTTGCAGGTTATCCGGGGAGGGGCCGCCTTACTTCAAAGGAAACACCCCCTCCCCTTCTCCACAGCCAGGCTGGGGCTCCTTGCCTAGCTGGAGAGAGCCCGGAAGGAAGGCAAAGCACAGGGCGGGGGGGGCAGGGGGAGGAAGGCAATTAGGATCAATTCGATAAAGCCGCTTTCCCCCCTCCCCAAATGAATGCAGCACCATTGGGGGGGGGTTGCAAAGGGGTCTTGGGTGGCTGGGGAGGGTCGACCCCGAGAAGGGAAGCAGAAGCAAGAAAGAATTTTAAACCTGCCCAGGCTCCCAACATCCCATAAATTACAAGTTAATTATTATTATGAATATTGCGATGATGCCGTTGTTATTTCTGCTTAATTATACTGTCTTAAATTTTACACGGCTGTAAAACTTCTCTGCAATTGCCCCCTTGTCATTCAAGGAATTGTTGCGCCCTTGGGGGGGGGCTGGTTTGCATGGGGGGAGGCTGTAGTTTGGAGGGTGGGGAGGGGGAATTGATCTCTTTTCCAATTTGGGGGGGAAAAAAATACCCCACAGCGGGAAGCACCTCCTTCGCAGCTGGGTGTGAACACCAGTGGAGGCCCCTGTTCAGAAAGGAACTGTTTTTGGTGCTAATTTGTTATCTCTGAATATTTTTCTTTCCAAATGTCTTGGCGATTCGGCCCAACCGCCTGAATGCGCCCCTGACTCAATTAAAATCCACAAATCATTTGATATTTCGGGAAGGGAGGGAGAAATCTCCTTGATTCGGAATTTCAGTGATGCAAAAAAATAAAAAATATGTCTTGCTGTTAAATATGATGATCCGAGGGTGTTCTCCATATATGTGCATCTTGCTCCAATGCACGCAAATTATGTGTCACCCTCGCTGACCGGTGGGAGTGGAGGAATACATTTCCTAGCTTCCAGACAATGCTTTTGTTTTGGAGAGTCCGGTCATTCAACCCTGCTGATTCTACTTCCTGAATATTTTTGATATTTATTGCTGGGGAGAGATTTGCTCTGGAGCAGCCTGAGATGGTTCCTGTTGACCTTTCCAAGTTTATTTACATTTTTTGGGGTGCTATTCCGAAGTGTTTGTATGCATAAATAGCTTCAGCGTGGCTTCCAAAGGATACCTTATAGATGTGTTGAGACTCGGGTGAAGAGGAGAAATGCACTCTGCACATGCTTAAGAGTGGATGCTGTGGCCGTTGTCGACTTCTGGCCAGAACAAGATCTGTGTTTGTTGATTCTCTTGATATTCGGTTTATTCTCTCCATCTGTAGCATTGTTTTTCTCAACCTTGGCAACTTGAAGATGGGTGAACTTCAACTCCCAGAATTCCCTAGCCTAAGGAATTCTGGGAGTTGAAGTCCACCCATCTTCAAACTGCCATGGTTGAGAAAAACACTAATCTATAACATAACTATGTATTTGGGGAAGCAAAAATTTAGCATATTCCTAATTGATGCAATGATTTATGATGTCATATTTTTTCGACTAGTGTTTTTAAAATCTTTTTAATAAGAACTTGTTGCCCCTTAGATTATCATGAACCCATTTTTCATAGCTTGAAGCAAGCAGAGACTACAAAACATTTCTGCCACTATTAAATATTTTCCTTTTTATTTAGGGTTGGTTTAATGGAAATCTCAAGATTGGATTTATTTTTTCTTTTCCTGTTCAACATGGAGACTGGGTTATTTTTCTGGAGTTTTTAACTAGAGCTGTCTTGATTTTTCTCAATGAAGGAGTTAAGAAATCACGTTGAATCAAGTAAAATAATTCTTTACCATGGGCAGAATTCTCTCCATTAGCCAGTTCCCTTGATTTAAAATATAATATTCAATGTCTAAACAGGCCCTTTGAAAGAACTAGGAAGTTCGCCCGATCCTCTTTCACGGCCACACACCTTTGTGCTACTTAGAGCTGACGCCGCCTTGACTTTTTATGTGTGTAAACACAAACATCCAGACGTCCATTTTTAAAATCCATCTTCAAGTGAATTAGGTAACTTCCTTTCTGGTTTCATTCTCGCCCTCTTCCTCAAAAACCTTACATTCCTTCAGACTAACTTACAACAAACCAAACTTTTATTTTTGTTCCTAGTTATTCTAGCAAATCCGGTTTGGCGCATGCCAAGGCTTGGAGTCGTAAAAAAACCCCCAAAATCCATTGGATGTTTGATCAAACAGGCTGTTTGTTAAAATACATAGCCTTGTGTGAAATAACAAACAAACACACACAAGAGAGGGGAGGGGGAGAAAGAGTTTTAATTCTTTGAAGTTGGTTGTTTTTTTTTTCTCGTTTGGTTATGCAAAGGTAGGAAAGTTTTATAACCACTGGTTAAAGTCGAGAGAAAGCTATGAAGGCTCTCAGGGGGTCAACCAAGTGGCTGATATTGGATATTGGGTCAATTGTTGCGGCTTTCTAAAGATCTGTTCTTGGTGCTCACAAACCATGTGATTCTCTTAACGACCGTGGAAAGTAAAGATTCTGGAATCAGGAGCAACTCAATTAAAAACACCTTGCTTAGCCATGGAAATGTTGACCCCCATTGTGAGGGGGTCAAGGTGAGGACTATCTGTGTACATCCATCCATCCATCACGGATTTAGCAGCCTTTAGTCTATGCAGAGCTTCCAGCTGGAGGAGCAGCGAGCTGAAGGAATTCTGTCCGACTCTCACAGCCTCAGTGAGTGCAAACATGGGGTTCATTTGGAAGAAGGGCTGCTTTTTAAAAGTTCCCGTCACGCTGAGTGTCTATTATGGCCATTTGCCAATCCTCTATAGGATCCAAAACCCAAAAGGAGGTTGGCAAGATCCAGATGAACCAGAGGACCAGATTCTTTGGACCCTAGCCCAGCTGCTGGAGATCTACCTGTGGCCATGCAAAGGATCCTTTTTCAGATCACCAGCGAGGAGAAACCTGGCTGGGCTCCCCCCAGGTCTGTTGCAAAAAGTGGTTAATCATTGTGGCTAATGATTAACTTTCAATATTGCCTGCCTGATGCGAGATAGCTGGTGTTATCTTTAGCTAGGAAAGACTTTTTTTTGGAGTCCTTCTTAGCCCTGCCTTGGATTTTTTCCTTCCCTGGATAAAGTGTGATGCAACCTTCCTCCTTCAACAACACACTGCTCACAGCCTTGAGGGCCAGCCAGGACTCAAAAGCCCATCTGCAGCACGTGAAATGGCCTAGAAGGACCTGATGTGGTGTCTTCTCTGGAAGCAGAAGAAAACAAACCATTGAAAGAAGAAGAGAAGCAGAAGGACCCAAAATAAGATGGATTTGGAAGAATATGGAAGCTTTGCATGACGGACATTGAAATGGTGGCCAAGACCATTTGGTAGATGGGTCTGGTCCCAATTGTAGATGTCCTCCAGCGTTGAAGGAGGTCCATGGATGAAGAGAAGGTCCATAATGGAGCAGAAGCTCATCATTTTTCATAGCTAACCACTGAAAGCACATCCCAATAAATCTCCACTTCCATCCTGTGTGGGCTGAAGTAATTCTGGTCCTTATTCTCTGACATAATGGGGCTCCCTACGTGGCTATACACCTCCCCTTCATACTTCTCTCCAGTGCCTGCCAAACATGCTGGTTTGTTCACTTCCCATCTGGGCATCTTTTGACTATTTGGAAATGGAAACTGAGATAAGCTTTGTTCATCGGACATCATTGTCTGTAATTGTAGGTTGAGTCATCTTTAATTGCTCAAATGCGAGCAGCAGCAGCACAGAGGATGTTCAACCTTCTTGGCTGCACCCATCTGGCTCTGTGTGGGAAGACCGACAGCACACCCAGGAATGGCATCCTTACATTCCAGCTCTGCCCATTTTGGGGTGTCATGAAAGGGCTGCCGGCAGTTGGCAGACACGTCTAAATTGGATTGCAACCCTCCTGAGATGTTTTAAGGGTGATTTTGCTCACCCGAGGTCAAATTACAGGCCATACCAAGCTGACACCAAACCCTTGGGCTCATGTTCCTTCTTTTGCTCTTCTGTGGCTAAGAATCAGGTGTCAAAGAGGAAATGAGATCACCGTGACGGAAATAAGATTTTCACAACTAGGAAACCTCTGATGTTGAAACTAGAAATACAAGCTCTGCTTCTAAGGAAGATTCTGAAGGTCTCTCTAGCTTGGTGACTTCATCTCAGCCGTTCCAAACAAATCCTGAGTCAGTTCCTTCTTTCTGCTTCCTGGGTCTGGACACTGGGAAGAAGAAGATGGGTGGTGGGAGAGGGTTGACCTCTGGGAAGCTGGCATGAAAAGCCTATTTGGTAGAAGGTGCTCAGATTTGGAAACGGGATGGCCCAAGAGTGACCGTAGACCAGCAGTCAAGCAGTAAAACTATACTCCAGTCAAGGAACTACCAATTTAGACAAGTAAACAACAGCCTAATCAAGGAACTATCAAGAAAACAACACTCATGCCAATACTAACATGGCAAGCCAGTAGTATATAAACAGAAAGCAAACGCCACTCCTTTCTAGCACGGATGATGTTACCTGGTTGGGTCATGAAACGTCTGCGAGAGAACCACCAAGCTCAGAGAGCACCCCACATGGACTTTAGGGGTGATGGTGGGACAAATCTTTCTCCAAAGAGGTTGTTAATTGGTCTAATGCAAAGAGTTTGTGTGTCTAGAGAATCTGTTCTAGGATGATGATCCTCTATGTTCTTCAAAATGTCCCTCCATCATCTTTTCCCACCGTTTGGGGCTGATGGAGATGGAAGGACAACAGATCTGGATGGCTGTAGGAGAGTTTCTTTCATGTAGGAACTTTCCAAAGTTTCATCTGCAGGGAACACTGTGCTAAGCTGCTGGCACGCTGCCCTGGCTACGACTCAGAGCAAATTCACATTGACCTATTCTCTGCTATCTCGGTCACCTGCTTAAACCTTTATCAGTGGCTCTCCCTCACTACATACAAGAGACTTAAGCTCCTCACTGAATTGACCTGATTTTAATACACACAATATGCTGAAATAGAAACTAGCCATGGCTGAAGTCTACACACCTTGATCCACAATAACAATAATAATAATAGGTGCCTTGGGTGCGGTCCCAAAACATCTGGGGCACCACTTGAACACCATCTTAGTCTGAGGCCTGAAAAAGTAACAGAATAACAGTTAGAAGGGACCTTGGAGGTCTTCTAGTCTAACCCCCTGCTCAGGCAGGAGACCCTGTGCCATTTCAGAGGGGTTTTACTAGGGAAGCTGGATGAGAAAGTTTTTTCCAACTCCCCAGCTCTACTCAAAGCGTTCTTCCGTGCTTTGCGCAATTATCGCCTTCCAGATGCGTTCAGATGATGGAATGCAAAGAATGTTGGTGGTTGCTTACCAGGGTGTGTCACCCACCCACTTGCTACCCTCACACTGGGCTTGGGTCAGTTGCCTTCTTTCACCTTGCCCTGCTTTACGTCAGCCCAGAACAGCTGCCTTCGAAAATACACAACTGGCTGGAACATCTGGTGCGCATCACTCTGCACCTCAGAATTAGGAAGGTCTCTCCCTCATTGTTCCTGGATCCCCCCCACTCGGTTGACATTCCTAGCACTCCAGAAGAAGCGTGAAATATGACCTACTCTTAAGAACGAGGGTCAGATGTCTCCTTCGCATCTGATGAGCAAGGAAAACCTTTTCTTCTCCGACCTCAGCAAGAAATTCTCATTAAGAATTTAGCATCCCAGGCCAAAGGGAAAAGGAAAGCAAACACCAGGGGCTAAATTTATCCCGGTGAGCAGGAAGTCAAGAGTTCTCCTCCTTCTCTTCAGAACCCTTTTTAAGCCATGGCTTCGTGAGATGCTACCAGCAGATCCAAAGTTTTCTCCTTATCTTTGCTCTTTTTTTTTTTCTCAGTCTGGGCCAGGCGGACCTGCTGGATCCATGCTTTTTCTTGAGTGCAAATCACGAATGCAAGGAAATCCATTTTTTTCAGTGCCATTGTAACTTTTGCTCCATGAATGATTTGTGAGTCTAGGACTATCTGTGGATTTTTCTCCGTGAAAGACACACAGAACCTGGGTATTTGGAGAGTTGGGGCTGGGGTCCCCCACCCCACCCGTATTCTATGCTGGGAGTCGGATTCTTGCCAAGAGAGAGCTCTCCATGCAGGTGGGAAGCCAACATTTTCCAGGTTTCTTGAGCATGGAAAGAAAGCTATTTGTTTGGGAGTTTTCTCCGGAGCGAAACTGGAGAAGTGATTTCCCTTCCTCCACACTCCTGTATGTGGAAATGTTTGTTTATAGCTTTTTTGTGCTGCCTTCTAAGGTACAATGGTTTCCACATTCAGGCATACAAAGAGGCAGGAAGGGAGGGGAGAGGGAAAAAATCTCCCTGAGTTGTAAATCAGAAGTCTGTATTGGAGGGAAAAAAATCACTCAAGGAGCCACCGCATAAGCTGGAAGTGTTGCTCGGGCGTTGTGTGTTGCGTTGAGCCAAGGGTTCCCTTTGGGGCGAGAGACCCAGATCTAGCAAGGTGTGCTGGAAATAAATTGCAGATTTGCAGATTGGGGTTTTTTTTGCTGTTATCCTGGAAAAGCTGTGCAGGTTCCAAGCGTCATTCAAAAACGACTTTTTTTTCCGCCCAACTTGCCCGCTTCAGCTGGAAGCCGAGCACTCGTGGAATCTCAATGAACAACTCGACAATGGAGCTCTGTGCGAAAGGAGGTCAGGGCTCCCCTCGAAGGGCTCCGCGGCCTTAACCGGTCACTGGAAGCCGCCAGCCGTCCTAGCCGAGCTCCAGGTTGGCCGGATCAAAAGATGCAGGTTGCATTGAATGTGTGAATGCCTGCAGGACTCTGCGGGAATCCAATCCCGTCCTTTTGGAGATATAGTATATAGGCAGTCCTCCACTTACAGCCGGTTGATTAATTCAGAGTTATGACGGATCAAAGGAAGAGGAAGGCGTGTGGGATATGTCTGAGTTATTTGCGAAGACAATAAAGGCGGGATGCCGGTAAATAAATAAAAGCAAATTTAAAGAAAATGCTGTAAGGAATCCTGGCTTCCTTTCACCTCTGTTGCCTCTGTTTCCCCTGGCAGGCGATAAGCATCAGCAAAGCCATCAACACGTTGGAAGTCCCTGTGAAGGAGAAGCACGCTCGGAGTATCCTTTGAGCATCTCCCTGGCTCGCCTGATGTCCCTGGCCGAGGTTGGGAGGGAGCATCTGGGGGCACTTTTGCAAAATGGTATAAAAACAAGCAAGCAAACACGGGGAGGGAAGGGTTTCTGCCTCCAGCAGGGTAGAGTTTCAGCTTACACCAGGAAATGCAAACAAGGTCAGAAGGTAAATAAAAGCAAACTCAGGTTTTATCCAGCAACTTAAGTACTAGATCAAACTGGCTTCTCTCTCTCTCCCTCTTTCTCTCCATTCATCCATCATCTTTCTCTCTCTGTGTCCATCTCTGTCTATCTACCCATTTTTCTCATCCATCCATCCATCTTCTTTCTCTGTCCATCTCTCTTCATCTATCAACACACACACACACACCTACCTACCTACCTACCCATCCATCATCTTTCTCCATCCATCCATCTGTCTGTCCATCATCCATCCATTATCTTTTTCCATCCAGCCATCCATTCTTTCTCTGCCCATCTCTCTCTCCATCAACTGTCTATATCTGTCTATTATCTATATCTGTCTGTCTGTCTACCTACCTACCTACCTATCATATCATATATCATCTGTCTATCATCTCTCTATGTCTCATCTACCATCTACCTATCTTTCTATATCTATCTCGTCTCTCGGTCTCCTCTATCTAGCACCGTCTTCCAGGACCCCCTTTCATTCTCTCCCTGCATAATATCTCATCCACCTCCCCTTATAACTAGACAGCATTTCCTTTTGAGTTTCCTTCACCCTTTCGATGACAGGCATGGAGAAACAGAGACTATAGGCGTAAGATAAACTATATACCATCTCCTGAAGAAAACATTCAAATTGAAGTTTCAGCTGCCAACAAAATTCCTTGATAAGATAGCCTTTCCTCGCCCAAATTCTTTCTCTGATTCTTTCTGACTGTTGATCTTAGCAAAATGAGGAACGTGTGTCCCAAATTTAATATGAACCTTAACTTGTGCAAAGGGATTATTCTAGGGACCCATCACGAGAAAGGTGCATTTACTTTCTGGTCGTATGCCATTGGTCTCCCCCTGCCCAGCAGTGCCATCCTGAGCTGGAAGTTCTGCCATGTGCTCCACAAGGTCCTCCGAGATGGTCATCCAAACGTAAGTTCCTTGATCTTCCCCCTTGTAGCTATTAACAGCATTTGTGAGAAGCCCAGATCTATGTTCTCCATCTATTTTTCAACGACCCGTTGATTTTTCTAGGTTCTCCAGGATTGTCAGCGATATCGAAGTAACATTCGAGAAACGGGAGATCTTTGGGTAAGTTCCAGATCTGCTTCTGCCTCTTTGAGAACTTTCAGATCTTAAATGGGTTTAGAAGACTAAGCTGAGACCTTTACCCAAATGTAAAGCGGGGCTGGGGGAATTCTGGGAGTTGAAGTCCACAGAGCTTGAAGTTGCAAAGTTGAGAAAAACACAGCATCCTATGAGACTAAGCTAGGACTTCCTTCAGTGCAGGCAAGGAGTTGAAAAACCGCACGGAAATAGATTTCGCCTCTCCAAATATATTTTTGGAATCTGATGCATTTGTGGTTTTCCTTTTCCAGGGCCACCTGCACGACCGTTACGGCCAGTTGGTGAATATTTACACCAAGCTTTTGCTGATCAAAATCTCCTTCCACGTAAAGGTAACTCACCGCAACTGTCATGGGTCCACACAGGTTGCCCAGCATCTGAATTTTGATCACAGGGATACTGTAGTGGTCACAAATGTGAAGAATGGGCATGTCACTTATTTCAGTGCCGCTGTTAATTTTGAACAGTCACTAAACGAGCAGTTGTAAGCCAGGGATTACCTATAGACAGTCCTTTTTCAATGAAGCCCACCAGGCTTGTGAAAAGCAGGATTCTGCCAGGTGACAACTGCTTAATTATAATAATAATAATAAAGTTGGAAGGGACCTTGGAGGTCGTCTAGTCCAACCCCCTGCTCAGGCAGGAAACCTTATACCATTTCAAACAAATAGCTGTCCAGTCTTTTCTTAAAAACTTCCAGTGTTGGAGCATTCACCGCTTCTGGAGGCAGGTTGTTCCACTGGTTAATTGTTCTAACTGTCAGGAAGTTTCTCCTTAGTTCCAGGTTGCTTCTCTTCTTGATTAGTTGACTAATTCTTGCTTTGTTTCCCACTGTAGCATCCACAGTTCCCTCCTAACCTTGAAGTCACTGACGAGGTCCTGGAAAAGGCTGCGGGAACAGATGTGAATAACATGTAAGTGCGTCTCCCATCTCAAGGCTTCCTTGGGTTTTTTTTTCTGAAAGCCCAACAGCTGTTTTTGCTCCTTGATGCCAAGGTAGCATCTCAAGAGCGAAAACATTAACTTCTTCCCCTCCTGGATCGGAATTTTGATCCTTGGGGGGCAGGTTTACGTTTTACTTCCTGGAGTAAAGATTGAGTAAGCCGGTTCTTGAACGAGCCTGGCTTCCCCCATTGACTTTGCTTGACAGAAAGTCACAAAAGGGGATCACATGACCCTGGGACGCTGCAACCGTCATGGGTACATGCCAGTTGCCAAGCGTCCGAATTTCGATCATGTGACCACAGGGATGCTGCCATGGTTGTGTGAAAAACGGTCCTAAGTCCCTTTTTTCGGTGCTGTTGTAATTTTGAAACGGCCACTAAGCGAACCGTTGTAACTCAAGGACTGCCTGTACATGGGAAGGGAAACTGATCGCTGCTCCTGTGCTCTTGGTTTAAAAATTCTCTGCAGCTTCCAGCTCACCGTTGAGATGTTTGACTACATGGATTGCGAACTCAAGTTAGCAGAATCAGGTAAACTGCCCTGAGCTTCGATGCTCTCTCTCTCCTTTCATTTTCTTTTTTTTCCCCCCTCTCGGTGCCATTTTTAAACCCAGGCGGAGACGTGAGCAGCGTTGCCAAGATTTCCTTTTTTTTTTTTTAAACGGGTTGAACAGAAGCTTTGTCTGCAGAAGTTGGCAGGGAGGACGTTCCTTGACAATCGCCCCCTGCTCAGATCTGCCCGTCACACTCTGTGCACAATGTACAAAAACGAAGCTGGTTTGGCTTTTCCGTTAAGGCGGCCCCGCTGCGGTTTTGCAGCCCGGTTGCGATAATTTATCGGCTTGTTCCGCAACCACCTTGCAAGGGCGGGCCCTCCCAGAGTCTTTTATTAGGCAAATAAAATATGTAACCCTGAAACAGACAGAGAGATGTTGGGCAAGGGTGCTGCTGTATAAATCGTGGGGGGTCGTCGGACTGAGGCATTGTGTTTTTTTTTAAAAAAAATCCCGTTAAGCGTCCCTGAATTTTGCATTTCTGCCCCTCGAAGCCAACGTCCTTTGGGTGAAACGGAACCATTGTTGACTTTGGCAAGCCCTTCCTATCCGTCCTGCTCTTTCTGAGCTTCCTTTGTGTGGAGCATCAGATAACGGCAAGGTTTGACGTTGATCGGTGCTCTTTTTTTCCCTTGCCAAGTTCTGTGGCTGTCACGTGACCTTGGCCTGGCCTCCCTGCGGGCACGGAAATGTATGCTCCGAGTTAATGGCAAACCTGTAATAACGTGGGCGGCATCTCGCTTTAAGCCAACCGTGTCGCAGCCTAAGTAAGCAAAGAGGGTTTCTTAGCAATAGAGAAACCGGTCAACGCTTGAATTGGCCAGACGCTCTTCTGTGACGGTTCTGGAACCCGGAATTTTAAAACGTTGTAGAGGTGGTGCCTCTGGCCTAACAGCTGGATCCACAAATCCATCTGCAAACTCTTGGCTGCTGCGTTGCATACTTTCCAGTTGGTGACGGGGGAAATTTTACCTCTGAAAATGGAAATGTGTTTATTTTAAATGATTTTGGAGGAGTGGGAGGGAAGTAGACTAAATGTATAGGTTGCACAAAGGCAGTGAGTGACCTTGGGCCAGACACCCTCTCTTAGCCCAACCCCCCTCACAGGATTATTGTTTTAGGGAAAAGAAGGAGGCAGTATTATAGATGTTTGAGTTATTTATAAAAACAATAAAGGCAGGATTAAAAAAATCTAATCAAGGAATAAATACATAAAATTCATGAGCTTCCGGCGTTGGTGATAATTGTACCTTCCCTCAACCAGTTCGGTTGGACAAGCATTTGTCTGAAATGGCCTAGGCTTTCCTGCTTGAGCAGGGAGCTGGACTAGAAGACCTCCAAGGTCCCTTCCAACTTTTCTGTTAGGTGGGATTGGTGCTTAAGGTGCAAATGGGTGTCCTTGGGTTGTTTGCTTTCGTATCCATACTTGCTAGGGGATTCTGGGAGTTGAAGTCGTAAAGTCGCTGAAGGCGAGAGTTCTCTCTCTTCCTCTGCTTACAGTCTTCAGGCAGCTCAACACCTCTATGGCCATCTCCCAGATGTCGGCCGTTCAGTGCCGGTTGGCTCCCCTCATCCAGGTGATCCAAGATTGCAGCCACCTGTATCATTACACCGTGAAGCTGATGTTCAACCTCCATTCGTGTAAGTGGATCTTCAGAGCACCCCAGTTCTGGCCCTAGCTGCAAGGGAGAACAGCTGTCGCATCCAGGACCCATCTGGGGCCTAAAAGTCCTGGATTCCGACATAGGCAGAAGCAGCAGAAGCTACAGAGAATAGACCATTGTTTGTCAACCTTAGCAACTTTCAGATGGGTGGACTTCAACTCCCAGAATTCCCCAGCCAGCATGGCTGGCTGAGGAATTCTGGGAGTTGAAGTCCACCCATCTGAAAGTTGCTAAGGTTGACAAACAATGGAATAAACTCTCCAAATTATCCTAGCCAAAATTAAAGCACAAAAATCTGCAACAGTTCGGGACATGTTCCGACAATCTTTTCTGCTCCTATCCTGCTTCTCTGCCTCTCCCCACTCAGCGTCTGGTCACGTGGAAATTGATCTGAATTGACTAACAAACTGGTAGGGCGCTCTAGAAAACATCTGCTGGGCTTTTGAGTCTGCCAAAGATTTAACACTTCCAGGGATGTCCGGTCCGTTTGCTGCAGATTCAGCAAAAGTCAGCCGGTTTTGCAGACTGCTCGGTGCAAGAGGAGAAATTACGATAAGTTGGAGAAGAAACTGGATTAGGGATTCAAGCTTCTCCTCTGTGTATCTGGCACCTCCCAGGATCCTTTGCAGAGCGAGCAGGAATTCCTGGCTGGGTGGGAAGGGTGCCTCGGAGGCAGGAAAGTTTGCAAAGAACAAGGTTTGCAATCACAACACAGGCGCCCGTTGAAAAACAATCCAGGCAGTGCCAGCCAGGGACCCCTGAGGGGACATTCCTGCTCCTGAGTCAACTGCTTGCAGCTCTTCCGTGGAGGAGGCAGCGCAGGATTTAAACTGATGCCTCCTTTCAAAGGATTTACTTAAGCTGGAGGGGTTTTGCTCAGACACCCCGTCTCTCATTGACGCCTCCTGAAATGCAGCTAATGGACAGAGAGGGCGACTTGAGAACGTCAATCTCCTTTGAGCATCCCGAAACCCCAGTTTTTAAAATCGGCCTGGATTTCTTATTATTTACAAAGAGTTGTTTGCTTCCCTCCCCCCCATCTCTGATTAAAAATGGCCCTGGGAAACCGCTTGAGGTCCATTCCTGTCCTTTTTGATTCTCGCTTGCTCAGGTTTGCCAGCCGACACGTTGCAAGGTCACCGAGACAGGTTCCACGAACAGTTTCGCAGGTAACGGAAAAAAAAACCCCTCCGTGTAATTTGTGGCTGCCAGGTGTGAACTCCCAAAACCTCCCAAGTGCTGTGTTAGGTATTCCCTAGCGTTTAATCGAATCGTGTCCTGGTTTTTTTTAAAAAATAATAATAACAGAAATATACTGCAAGAATATTGTGCGAATTGGGTTCCTTAAGAATCCTGTCTTAAAAAGACAGCCCATTGTATAACATGCAGAGTTAAAAAAATAAAATAAAAAGCAAATACAGCAACAGCAACATGAAGAATAGCCAGGAACGGTTTACCAATCCAGATTCCTGAGATCATGAGGCCTAGAAACTTGGCTGGTTTTATGAAACGCTGCACTGTGGATTAAATCGGGATTCAAGGAGAGAGGATGAATGTTGGTTACAATCAGGATAGATTTGTGGGTTGGGTTAACCTCTAAAGAACAGCACAGTAAGGACAGGATCAACAGGATCTAACTTTGCTAGATTCCTTATTTTTCAATTCACTTTTCTGCTCTGTTCCTTTAGGAAGAACAGACGCTTGTAAATAAAATACTTAACTGCATCCAGTAGTAAGCATGGTCGATTTCTTGGGAACATCTTACCCTCCTTTGACCCTCCTGGTGTTTTCTCCTTGTTAGCCTCAAGAACTTTTTCAAAAGAGCCTCGGACATGCTGTATTTCAAGCGTCTCATCCAGATTCCACGGCTGCCTGAGGTATCCTTTATTTTTCCTGCAAGAAAGAGGGCCAAACGCCTTTAATATGACTGTATCCCTGCCTGCAGGCATGCACGTGTGAAAGAAAACCCAAGCAAGGAGGTGTGAGGGAGGAAGCCTGCCAGTTTTCTTCACACAGGGTTGTCTGAACGGGGAGCCAATCCCGATACATTGATGATCAGTGGGGAAGGATATTCGGATGGATCTGATTTCCTTCCGAATGAAGGCGAATATACAGGTCTCAGGATAATGTTGCAGGATCCAATCTGGGTCGGTCACCAGGACCTGATGTTTTGTCTTCCGAGCTTTCAGACTCATGCTGGAGCCCATTTTCAGGGAATTTCTCTCTAGGTGTGTGTGTGTGTGTGTGCTTTGGGCTATTTTGTGTGTGGTATTTATGCGATGCCTGCTGTCCGCGGCTTTTTAGATGTAGATTGGGATATTGATGGCTTTTCCTTGTGTTGCCAATCCCTCGCCTCCTAAGTACTCGATAAGCTGGTGGTAAATCAGCACGCCCGTTAACTGACGAGGGACCCATTTCCCAGGCTTCAGATATTTCCCTGGCTGTTTTTGTACCCGCTCGTCCAACAATCTTAGTAGCTGCAAAAGTCAATGCATGTCCTTGTTCATTGCAGTTTGAGATTGCCAATGAATGTGGGTCTCCTTCCTCCCACAGAACCCCCCAAATTTCCTGAGGGCGTCCGCCCTGGCTGAACATGTCAAGCCGGTGGTGGTAATTCCAGAAGAAGCCCCCGAAGACGAGGAGGCGGAAAACCTGATTGAGATCAGCTCAGCTCCATCCGTAGAGCAGCAGGTGAGATGCAGGTGCTCAGTCGGACCATTCGGAAGTGGGCGACTGGTGCAAACTCTCCCCTTCCAGTTGGGGCTCAGCCCCATGGTTTTTCCATTTCCTCAGCTTTGGAGGGCATAACATGCTTCTGAGCATGGGCAAAATACCACAGCTACCTGCTTGCTCACAACAGCTAGAGCTCTCCGTAATTTTGTTTTTGTTTTTTTTTACAAAAATCTGCACATTTGCAATTCGTCAAATTTGGCAGCTTGTTGTTTTATTTCTTTATTGGGGACAGTTTCTTGAATCGAACAACTTTTAAGATGGGTGGGCTTTAACTCCCAGAATTTTTCTTTTCTTTTTGTAGAATGTGCCAGATATATTTGAGCAGACTTTCGGGCCGCCCAACGGACTAAAAGATGACAGGTATTTTATCAGCAAAACCTCGGTCACCTTTTAGTTAATAAAAACAACAACCCTTAAGCTATCTAGTGCTTGGGATTCCCAAAGTAAAAATAATTTTAATAAAAGTGTGGTTTTGGATGGTTGGTGACAGAAGAAACCCAGGAGAAAGGTAGAATATGTATATGTCTTTAACAATCTTTTAAGGCAGTGTTTCTCAACCTTGACAATTTTAAGGCATGTGGACTTCAACTCCCAGAATTCCACAGCCAGCATTGCTGGCTGTGGAATTCTGGGAGTTGAAGTCCACATGCCTTAAAATTGTCAAGGTTGAGAAACACTGTTTTAAGGTGATATTATACATGATAATGGCCAGCTTCATTCCTTTGACAGTCAAAAGGTACTCTTTAGAGACAGGAGGGAGTATGACTTAATGGAATTGCAGGATTTATAAATATACCAAAGAATCTTTAGTGAAAAACACTGGAAATCTAAGCAGGAATACCTGGCTATCTGATGGGGAAGTAGGGGAAAAGAAAGACCAACTTGAAAAACCCAAAGCAGCAGATCGGTTTTGCGTACCGCTAATGCAATGTGTTGTTCTTTTAATCTTCAGAGATCTGCAAATCGAAAATCTGAAGAAAGAAATTGAACTGCTTCAGACAGAACTAGAGAAGATTAAGCTGGAGGTCAGTCTGGGCTCAACTGTCATCCTAAGTCAAGGACTACTGCACTTCTCGGTCACTAGAAAGTCCCCATATCTGTTGAAGTATTTCTTGAAAGGACAGTTCTTTGGAGTTGTTTGACTGAAGGAACTCGGGAGGAAGGTGGAATGTGACTTTGGTGTTTCTGGGGAAGGGGTGGCTTGTTTACAGCTACCTGTTTTCTCTCTCCAGGCTCAAAGGTACATCACCCAGCTGAAGGCTCAGGTGAACAGTCTGGATGCCGAGGTGGAAGACCAGAGGAAGCAGAAGCAGAAAGCCTTGGTGGACAACGAACAGCTCCGGGATGAACTGGAGAAGCTGCAGAAAGCAAAATTTGAAGGAGATAAGAACCATGGACTCTACTTGGAAGCAGAAAGTAGGTGGGGGTGCCAGGGAGGGAGAGAGGGAGGGAGGGAGGGAGGGGAAGGGACCCTGCTTGATCATTTAGCTCTGCTCAGAATGGCCAAGGAGTAATCAATAAATCTAGAGAACGTCCCAGCACACAAATATTCTCAGTTCTGATTGGTAAGCAGTGTCCCCAAGTTTGAGAATGTCCGCTGGCTTGTTGCAATGATCAGTTGGATTATATGATCCATCAAGTTGTTGTCAGCTGTTAGCAACCACCAAGGTAGATGTTCTCCACGACAATCAGTCTTTAACTTTCAAGACTTTCAATGATTCACCACTGAATCAACACAGTGAGTCCATCCTTCTTGCTGTTGGTTATCCTCTTCTTCTCTTTTCTTCCCCCTTTCTCAACATCAGAGCTTTCTCCAGAGAGCTGGGACTTCATATCATGTGTCCAAAGTGGGAGAACTTGAGCCTGGTCATTTGTGCCTTGACTGAGAAGCCTGGGTGTCAGAGGGCTCCTTCAAATGATTTATCATGGTTTAATAGACCAAAGTAATGTGCCAGTATTCCTCTCTTTGGCAGAGAAAGCCAGCACCACCGAAATCCGCTATACCAAGCTGAAGGAGAAGCACAACGAGTTAATCAACACTCACGCGGAGCTTTTGAGAAAGGTAATGGTGCCCATGTTGAGGGGGGACACCTCTGTGGTCATAGTTAAATGTCTCCCTCACTCAGTGAGTTTTCTTCCAAGACTATAAAGTAAAAGTAAGAGGAAACCATGATTTGTCTCTTATGAGGTCCTTTCCCCAATATTATAAACCAAGGGTAAGAGGACACCATGATTTGTTTCTTGCTTGGCCAGATTCCTTTTTCTTCTCAATCCTTTCTTCAACTCTGAATCTTTCCCCCCCTCCCCCCAGAACGCAGATACTGCCAAGCAGCTGACCGTCACCCAACAGAGCCAGGAAGAGGTGGCCCGGGTCAAGGAACAGCTGGCTTTCCAGATGGAGCAAGTCAAGCGAGAGTCAGAAATGAAGGTAGGTTACTGTTGGGATGGGACACTTTGGGTCAAAGTCATCTTCTTCTTCTTTGGACAAGGCTGCAACTCCTTCTCTTTAAAGTCTGAATGCAGAACTGGTCTTGGAACATAATTTTGGCCCCTTGGAAACCCCGTAATAGGTTTTGTCTCTTGGGTTTTCCTGCAGTTAGAAGATCAGATACTTCAGGTGGAACAGATGAAGACAGAGCTGGACTCCAAAGCAGACGAACTGACTCAGCTCCAGCAGTCGCTCAGCCATTCTAAGCAGGTATTCGGCCTAAGGAGGAGATTGTATGGACAGGAGGGTCCTATTTTCTGCAGCCCTGTCTGAATTTTGAGATACTTTTTTTACATGTCTTCGCTTGTTTATAGTTTTCTAGCTTCGGATGCTGTCTTCAACACACGTGTGGCCTAGAATAGCTAGACTAAAACCTTGAAATGCATAGAAGTGAGTTGAAAGAAAGGCAAGCCTGTTGTAGAGACCAAGGACCCATTTCCGTAAACGTTCATCTTAAATCTGCGTTTGTGAGGTCCTACTTAGTTTGCTCTCAGGATGGAACAGAGGAAAGACCTTCTCCACGTAAATAATGTGAAGAGAGGGTGTGAGAACTCTTCAAGCAAGGAACCAGCGTGTGGAACTCTTTCCCGTGTGATCTGCAGGTTGGTTCGGACCTCAACAGCCAGTTGGACGCCCTTCAAGCCGAAAAGGAGGCCCTGAGGAAATCGGTCAACGAGAAGGAATGTGAGCTCATCTCAACTAAGGGCCTGATTCAAGAGAAGGAGCTGCTGTTGAGCCAGGAAGCCGAGAAGAGGACGAAGGAAGTGCAGGAACTCCAGGAAAAGTTGGTAGAAAAAGTACGGAGGAGAAACATTGAACTTGGGGGTGGGATTCCCTCTCCCACATCATTGGGGAAGGCGAGAGGGAGTCAGCCCGGGATGGAAGGAGGGGACCAGCACGTCCTCCTGACTTTCCTTGGACTCATATCCAAATACCTGGTCGTGTAATGTGTAAACATACTTGCTCATCCATGTTTTGGGTCCGTCCCACAGAGAAGTCACGAACAGAACCTGCAGCAGAAGCTCTTGGACGACCAGTTCCGAATCTTGCAAGGGACAATCAAGGAAGCCGAGAGCATCATCCAGGATGCCGTGGCCAAGTTGGACGACCCCCTGCATATCCGGTGCACCAGTTCTCCAGGTGGGTCCTGAATCCTTGCTTGAAGAACTTAAACCCTTAAAAAAAAAAGAGAGAGAGAGAGAGAGAGAGAGAGAGAGAGAGAATAAGGTGTTTCATTTCCTTCCAAATCTAGCCTCAGGCTGCCTTGAGTCAGAACCAGGGACATGCAGGTTTTCGTCTCCTCCCAAACCACATTCTTTGTCCTTAATTTCTTCTTTGCAGATTATCTCGTCAGCCGCACCCAGGCAGCTCTGGAATCGGTGAATGCCCTGGAGAAGGGACACAAGCATTATCTAGGCAACATGGCCGGTAAGACGTGTTGAGTTTTCTCCCCGGTTTCCTTACCTCGAGCTTTGAGATTGGAAGCTTTGCAGATATTGCAAGCAAGCAAAAAGAGTTCTCAAACTCATGTTTTCCTCCTTTTTTGGGGGGGGGAGTTCTTCTTCCTAGTTCCTCAAACTATGGAGCTAGTCAGTTGATAAGACACAGCATGTGAGGATGTGTAGCTAAAGCTTCAGACCAGGTTTAAAGTGAGGACCATGGTTTCTTGTACAAAGAAATCCCTACCAATTCAGGAACCAGGAACTTAAATATAAGCTGGGCTTAGATCATCTGAGGAAGTCCTACATGAAGTCACCAGGAGGTTCACTCATGGGGAGGGATGGGGACAAAGCTGGGACTAGCATCTTCTCAGTGGCATCAAGTCTTATGAAATTCTCTCCAAATAGATTTTCATTCTGTCTTCTGTCCAAAAACAGTTTGATGGTGTAGCTGTTTGTGGCACAGCAAACACTCTAAAACTAGCAGTTTTTAAACATGGCCAATGTCCCTTTTGTGTTTAGTTTTCATTTGTGCACCTTTTGATTTAAGCACTGTTGGTTTGGGTTGGGTTAAAGCAGTGTTTTCTCAACTTTAGCCGCTTTAAGATGGGCGGACTTCAACTCCCAGAATTCTATGCTGGCTGGGAATTCTGGGAGTTGAAGTCCACCCATCTTAAAGTGGCTAAGGGGGCCAAACACTGCCATAAAGGAAGGGCAACAGGAGGACAACCAACTCCAGAGAAAGTTGGTCTCCATCTTCCTTGAATGCAACACACTTTTGGAGTCATCTACCTCCTCACCATCCCTCTCCATTCTTGTTCTTTGTCTCAGATGCCTCTGGACTGGTTGCTGCGTTGGCTCAGTTTGCCCATCTCACGGCAGACGCCATCGTGAACGGCAGCGCCACATCCCATCTTGCTCCGACGGATCACGCTGACAGTGAGTAGGGCGTGGAAAAGGCTTCACCCCACCCCCACCCTGATAAGATAGAAGACTGGAAACATCAACCTCCGTGGTGCCTAAAGTGATCCAATCCACAAGATATATTAGCTGTGTTCCTCAGATCTTTGGTCTGATATGATTTTTGATCCTTGTATTAAGGGCCAAGCCCTCCTAGGGTCTTCCAAAGATGTAACTTCCTTCAAAAGGTTGACTGACTTCCCTGTCTATGTTTTTAAAGCTTCCTGAAATGGCCTCAGTGTTGGAACCAACTAAATCTTGGTTTTTCCCTGGTCCAGAATTGACAGAATCCTGCAGAGACTGTGGGCAACACAGCCTGGACTACCTGAACAAACTCAAAGATAAACAGTCTCTCCGAGAAGCAGATGCTGCAGACCTGAGGACAACTCTGCAGAGGCTATTCCAGCTAGGACAGGTGAAGAGAGAATGGAAGCCCACCAGGAGAAGTTCTCCATGAGGAATGTTGGGCGCCAGTGACTTCGTTGCTTGCTTTTCACCATTGACTAAACTCTTGAAGCTTTCTTAGACCAGAGTTCTCCTCAGAAGCCTCAATCAATTTTTCTTTTCTTCTTTGGGGGGGTTAGGAACTGAGACCCAAAAGTTTGGACATCCGGGAAGAAGAACTGGGTGACTTGGTTGACAAAGAGATGGCCACCACTTCTGCAGCAGTTGAAGATGCAGTCAGAAGAATAGAGGTGGGGCTAACTTGACCGGTGTACTGTTTGTATCACTCCTTGATTTAAAGAGTTTAAAAGGGATTGGACATATTGGTTTGTGCAAGTTAAGCTCTAGCATGGTTTAACTTTGGTGTTTGTTGTGGGAACGCAATCATTTGCAGATTCTGATAGCAGCATCTACACCTGATTATGTGGTGCCAAGAAGCATCCCCCAGCCTTGCAGTGATCCAACTTGGTCCTCCTTAGCTGGAGATGAACCACTTTGGATCTATTGGCTGGCCAAACTCACCTTCTGTCTTCCGTTTCTCTACAGGAAATGATGAATCAAGCCAGAGTAAAAAGCTCTGGAGTGAAACTAGAAGTTAACGAAAGGTAAGCTGGTGGCAGGGATGAATTTAACACAACTAAAAACCCAGGGTGTAATTTTCCAGGAGGTTTGCATGCTGAATCTGAAACCACCAGATTCTGTCTTAAAGTCTCAGATTAAGACAGATTTGAAGTCACCAGAGCCAGGAAAGTCCTTAATGGAAACTTCTGGAGAAGATGGGCCCAGACCCATTTCTTGCTAAAAGAGAAGTACCCTAGCTACTATACTTAATACATTCTCTAAAATGTTTATAATAAGCTCATATTTCAAATTCCTACAAACCCTACCTCGTGAAGGCCTGTTGGGGGTAACCGATCCATTCATCTGCTTACAACGTGATTATTTTGAGGTGAAACCCTCACCCTTCTCATCTGTTGCTTCAATGGGTGACTTTGTACATAACATTGTCATTTCAAGATGCGTAGACTTCCATTCTGGGAGATAAAGTCCACACGTCATAAAATCCCTAAAGTTTACCAATGCTGCTTTGGAGAAACCCCAACAGATTTAAAAATATTTTCATTTGAGTGTGCACAGATGCGGTTGCTTTACTATCTTTGCAAGTGATGAGTGTTCGACATCCTTTAGTGGGGGTCAGATTTTGCGTTGTGACTTGGCTTACAAAAAGAATGACTTCCAAACGCGTAGGCTTCATCGTTCTAACAGTGTTGTCTTAATTTGTTCCCCACAGAATCCTGAATTCCTGCACAGATTTAATGAAGGTGAGTGACCGCAATCATTAAAAATACTTCCATTTGGGATACATGGCAAGAAATTTCCTTGCTGCCTACTTTTGGTCAGACCTGTGGATAGCTGGAAACCCAGCTATCCACAGGTCTGACCATGATAGAAATTGCTCAGAATTCAACGAAATTCTTCTGCTTTTTTTGTCTGCTTTCAGGCTATCCGGCAGCTTGTATTGACCTCCACATATTTGCAGAAGGAGATTGTGGAAGGCGGAAGGGTGAGGAGACCATTTTTTGTTGCTGTTATTTTTAAAAAAATTAAAGAATGGAGAAAATTAAATATTTGGGGAAAGACTGTGGATTGACTTTATCAGCTGCTGGAGTCGGTCTCTCTCTGCCATTTTTCATTACACTTTTTTGCTTGATTGTGACATTTCAAGCAGACTCCTTCCCTCCTCCTTGGGATCCTAGAAAATCCATTATTGTAGCTATTGTAAATTTGAGATAGATTAGAGCTTGTTGAGACTCATGTCTTTTAAATTCCCACCATGGATCCTTTTCTCCGGATTTATTTTGCTCTTGCGAGTCCGTACAACGCAATCATAAAATACATTTCTTCTCTTCAACGCTAGGGGGCAGCAACACCCCAGGAATTTTACGCCAAGAACTCCTGTTGGACGGAAGGGCTGATCTCGGCATCCAAAGCTGTGGGATGGGGAGCAACTCAGCTCGTGTAGGTATCTGGATCGCCTCTCGGCTTTCTTTCCCTGCCTGGCTTGTTTCCTCTGACACAGCTTACATGCATTTTTCCTTTTTTCGCATCAGAGAATCTGCTGATAAAGTCGTCTTGCACACCGGCAAGTACGAGGAGCTGATTGTCTGTTCGCACGAGATTGCAGCTAGCACAGCTCAGCTCGTAGCCGCCTCCAAGGTAAAGTGGTCCTCAAAGAGAAACAGCTGCAACCTCTGGATTGTTTCTTTGTTGTGAAGTTTCTGTTGTTGGAAGGGATCCGAAGCACATATTATTCTTCCCAAAGCATTAAAAGGGAGTTATTAAGAAAATGCATAGGGCTGCCCAACTCATTGTCAGCGACTCTGAGCAGCTTACAGAGATAAAAACCTAATACAAAACAATAAAAAGCGATAACTCCCTATGTCCCTGGTGACAACGGTTGATCAAATAAGCCACTTGATGGGCTCCAGCCCACTCTGGGGTCCCTAGGCCCATTGGCAAAACCAGGTCTTCAGGACCTCCCGAAAGAGTGTCAAAGTGGGAGCCAATCTTATCTCTGCAGGGATGATGTTCCGTAGGGCAGGAGCCACCACTGAGAAGGCCCTGTGTGGTCCCACTAGAATAGATGGACCTCCCCTTAGAGGGGGGATCCATAGCATTCCTAGCCTCCCTGTTCTGGTGGGTGAGGTCGATGTAACCAGAAGAAGACAGTCCTTCAAATAAATTATTGAGGTTTTGGGTGGGGTGTTTGGTTTTGGATGCCAGGTCAAAGCGGAGAAGCACAGCAGGAACCTCAGCAAACTCCAGGAATGCTCGCGTACCGTCAACGAGATGGCAGCTAATGTCATGGCGTCTACCAAGTCCGGTCAAGAGCAGGTAGAAGAGAAAGGTGAGACTTGGTGGGTTGGCAGGTTTCCCATCTGTACTTCAATTTGGCTGATTGGCAGTGTTTCCAGTCTGGGCAACCTCATTGGCTGGAGCAGGAAATCCTGGGCTCTATTTTGGTTGTTAAGTGAGGACTAACTGAGACTTAAATTGTGGTTTTATTTAGGGTGTGTTAGACAAAATTCTGTAAGGCTGGATCTGTGAGGATCACAGCTTTATTTTCAAGAAGGAAATAGAAATTCCTGGCCTGCAGGCTTGGTCCATGATTTTGTAGAGCAAATGGCCTGGAGATATTGTTGGAGAGAGACATGGTGAGGTTTTATTTAGACAAAAGTTGGGGGTGAAGAATTGTGGAATGTCCAAAATTGCAGAATAGGGCAAGCTTTCCATTTCTGCTACGACTGCAGAACATCTGGAGAGATTTGGTCATGATCACATCTGAAATGAACATCTTCTTTGCTCTTCCAACCAGACACCATGGACTTCTCCGGGATGTCCTTGATCAAACTCAAGAAAGAGGAGATGGAGACCCAGGTAGGTATCGTGCGAATGTGGAATTTCTTAATAGAAGTATTGGAATTTAATTTCATTTTTGAAGAAGCACATCCCTAAAAGGAAGGTTTGGCTAAAGCAGTGATGTTGAGTTTCTCAAGGCTGTTCAGTTCTCTGAGTAGAGATGAGAACTTCTGAATGTAGCACCTCTCCGCAAAGGTGGTGGTCCAAGAAGACTTCCACCAGCATAACCCTTTCTGATAACAACCCAACTGCAGATTCTTGTGTTAACCGTAGCACAAGGTTGGGGTTCTCTCTAGGACAGGGTTGGCCAACTTTAAGACCTGTGGACGTCAATGCCCAGAAATCTGGGAGTTGAAGTCCACAGGTCTTAAAGTTGGCCAAGGATGGACACCTAAAGTTGGCCTAGGAGAACAAGTGGTGGATATCAGACCAAGAAGATCCTATCTTTTGCAGGTGAAGGTTCTAGAATTGGAAAAGACACTGGAAAACGAGAGGCTGCGTCTTGGGGAGCTGAGGCGGCAGCATTATGCCTTGGCTGGTCTTTACACCGAGAACGTGGATGGAAAGAAGCCCACGATCGCTCGTAAGCCAGCATCCTTGCAGAGGCCTGCCATGGCACAGAAACCAGGTCCAAGCAAGTCGGACTGTGAGGTGAGCATAGGGAGGGGCCCCTTAACCCCACCTTTAGCATGGGCAGAAGGGAGGGACTATATCAGACCAGCCATAATTCTGGGCCTTTTCTCCCTGGAATTTGGTTTCCCCCCCCCCCAATGATAGCTTTTTGCAAAAAATTGTGGGTTGTTTTTTTTTTTGCTACTTCTCTTTTTCAGTTGGCACAGGATGGCATCTACCAAGCCCACGTGGTTAACTTCTAGGGCAAAGCCAGCCAGCAGCTGAGCAGAGTAGAAGCCAGGGCCAGGAAAACTGGGGGTCCAGCTTCTAATTCTGCCCACCCTTGAGGAATTCAGTTCTTGGATCTGCTGGTTTTTCACCGGTACCCTCAAAACATCATAGGTTTTTGATGGAGGACTAAGATGTCAGCACCCTTCAGTCTTTGTACGGCATTGAGACATTCCGAACCCTTTAAACATCTGTGTTTTAAACAGATACCAACTGGATCACCCTTGCCTTCCAGCACCAATTCTGAAAGGTCTCTTCTGCCCACTGCCATCTAGGAGAAGGCAGATCCCATACAGGAAAAGGAATTAAGTGCTCGCTGATAATTATTTATAAGCAATAGGAATCATTTGGGAAATTTCGAGTAAATATTGGTGTATCTATTATTCTACCAAGATGTTTTAAAAAGAAATGTGAATTTCTGTGGCTACTGTCGTCGGTTGTCTAGATGGTCCTTTGTAGTATTTTATGCTGAGATCTGAAGCATATAAAAAGGGAGGGGGATGGAATTAGAGATTGCATAGTACATATTTAAGGACTGAATTTATACAGAGGAGGAAAAAAAACAAACCCTCAGTGGTTTTCAAATCCCTTCAGCCAGTGCTTCCCAAACCTGGGTGAAATTACCCCAAATTAGCTAAAAGTAGTTTTGTTTTCTTTGGGTAACGACACACATTCCCCATCACAACAGGGAGATTTAAATTGAGTTAAAAGGTTGCCCAGTGGGCTTAAAAGTCTCCCAAAGTATTCCTGACAAAATGAAAATCAAGGAAATGACCAATTGGTTGAAATGACCAATATCGGTCTGTATTCTTTTTTATAATACAGGTAGTTCTCGGGTTTGTGCCCAATCGTTCAGCCACCGTCCCAAGTTACGACGGAGCTAAAGGAAGGGAACGAATTTGCATAAGATTTTCTGATAAGCGGTTTTTTTGGGGGGGGAAGGGGTAATGAAGGAAAAAGGTTGGGAAGCACTGCCTTAAACTCTCGCTTAGGAATACCGTGCAAAAAAGAAAGCCACCCCACTTATTTCAGTAACTGAAATTTAGAGGGGGGGGGCTTCTTTGCAAAGGAAAGAGACTCAGATATGGGAACTGTTCTTAACCAAATCTTTACAATTAAAACATTTTCGCTTATTAAAATGATTTAGCTGAAACTGGACTGTGTCATTTTTTTTGGGGGGGGGGTGTCATTGTCTGGGCATGAAAGTTTTGTTTATTAATTCACTCTTATTTAGTCTGCTGCCAGTGCTCGAAAAAGCTTCCAAGGCACGGGTGTGGGTTCAAACTGGGGTCCTCTCCTCCTAATGGGATCACCCTGATGACTGTTATTAAGCAACTGGCTAGGGGTCCTTCGTTCTGAGTTTGTTTTCTTGCAGACTAGGTAGCATCATCAGTGCTGCAAGCAAACGCCACTCCCTTTTGCCACTGATGATGTTACCTAGTTGGGTCATGAAACGTCTGCAAGAAAGCCACCAGGCACACAGACCATCAAGAACTCCTCATTTCAACCCTGAGCTACAAAAATTCTCCTTTATTGCCAACTGGCTGACTGGGGTTGCAGATGGGGTAGGATTGTCTTCTCAGCATAGGAAGCAAAGCAAGTTTTCTCCTGGGACCTAAATAGCCATTATCTCTTTCTTCCAGCTGTACCGGTTACCAAAGGATTTTATAGCTAGAAAATAAAGCAGCTTCTGACTCTTTTCATTTCTGTTCAGATGGCCAAGCAAGAATCTGATTTACGGGGCTAAATTCTGGATAGAAAGAAGTTCTGTTTGTTTTCTCACATCTAATTTTTTTTTTACCCATTGATCATCTTTATTAACCCATTGACCACCTTGACTGTGCAATGTTAGAAAATATCAGATGATTGCTATTTGATATAGGCCCGCTAAGATGTTTCGTTAAGCAGTGTTTCTCAACCTTAACAATTTTAAGGCATGTGGACTTCAACTCCCAGAATTCCACAGCCAGCATTGCTGCCTGTGGAATTCTGGGAGTTGAAGTCCACATGCCTTAAAATTGTCAAGGTTGAGAAACACTGCGTTAGTGTATAGAATGGCCATCTGAATTTCTAGCCTTGAAATCCAATTAAGCGTTGTTTTGCTCCATTTTCTTACAAAATCAGGCCAGCCCAAAAGCAGCACAATTACATAAGCTGGCTACCGTTCTCTGATGGTTGAAATCAGATGGATAGTTGGAGGACTCAGATCTCGACCACAGACAGCCAGCATGCTGCAAGAGTTTGAGAATCGAAACATTCAGGTTTCTGGTTCAAAAAAACCCCCAGCAATGTCTGTTTGTACAAAATTTAGGATTTTCTTTTAATGAGTAATCACTGCAACCCCAAAATTTGTTTCTATAAAACAGCAATTCTACAAGAAAAAGGGAACAATTGTCAGCCCGGAGGCTGGCCTTGGGATCACAATCTTAAAGTTGTACAACCAAGTTGAACAGGTGTGATACATTAGAAGTCTCAAAAGCAAGGAAGATGAAGTTTGTCGGCATCTTAGGCACATTTTGGAGGCTATAGAGATCTCATTGTAGTCCAGAACTTGCTTGTTCCGACATAAAATGCTAAATCGCTGATTTGAGCACTGGAAAACTATCCTGCTGTAGGATTTTCAAATGGCCTTAAATGGCCTTTCTCTTTACCTCCTTTCCTAGGACAGAAATAGTCCAATTCAGACTTGAGAACAGATCTTGCTTACCTACCAGGAAATAAACTGGTCTGCAGATTTGATGCTAGAATAAAGGCTAACCAACAAAATCTGTTCATGTTTTTCCACAATGCAAATACTAATCAAGATAAAGGCCACTGCTAACGCCAGTCCAGATTACCGAGACATTCCACACCGCCACAAACTTCCCTCTCCAGTTGTATACTTTTGTAGGGGAAAAAAAGGGCAATTAAGACCACAGTATAAAATTGCAGCTATTTTCCTTTTGGATAATCCCGTTAGGGAAAACATGGCTTCTTATGCTTCAAATGCAGTTGGCTATTTTTTTTAAAGGGCCGCTTTAAAAACAGGACTCGCGTAAACAAAACTATTGCAAACCTTCTTATCAAAAGTGAGTAACTTTCCACCCTGAGCACAAAGAGGAAATAATTCTGTGTTAGGCTGTTGAAACTGCTTTCCGGAAGCAGCGTGGCTGGTTCTGTGTTTAAGAACAATGTCTTTGAAGGTAGCTTAAAGTCGTCACCAGGTCCTGGAAGTGGTAAGGCTGAAGTACTACAGGGCAAGGTTATAACTTCACTGATACTGGCCTATTGCTCCTGACAATCAGTTCCTAGACCGAATGACCACTGGGGAAAAAAGTCTGCTTGATGCTTCTGTCCATCACATCTTGATTACCTGCAAAAAGTGGCTGGCTGCTGGTGTAAACTTACGGAGCAAGAAATAGAGGTAGCAACCTATTTGCTACGGTTTGCAACAATCTCTGTACCATCCCTACGATCTCAGCTGGCGTTTGGGTTTCCTTTTTTTTCCTCCAAAACTCAGATTCTGGCTCGACAGCTTTTCTCGCCTGTCATTAAGCAAGAGCTGAAGATCCGTTCCTCTTCTAATATTTTTCAACCAGCCCTTTAACATTAATATAAGCAGGAATACCCGCAATTAGCAATGACCTTCACCAGCTTCAATCTCGCTGTTTATTGTTTAGTTTTGCATAGCCCTGGGTCCAAAAGATTGCCACCCTGATTTAACGTGGCCTTTCCTCTAGATCTCCCAGCCAGCTTGAAAAACTCCTACCACGAGACCAAACTTCTCTTTCTCTGATAAAAAAAAAAACCCTATCAGCAAAAACCAAAGATCTGCCTTTCCTACCATAGACAAATGGATACCATCATCCCTTTCCTCCCAAACTCTCGACATGAAAAAGAGGAACTGTAAAAAGAATTTCTCCCTGACAAAATTCCACGCAGTGGTTCTAAGGCACGGGTTAGCCCTTCGCCCAGCGTTAACGCGCCGTACAAAATTTAGGCGCATCACAGCTGTAGCAGCCTCTGCCAAAAGGTCTCTCTGCACAATGATTATATTGTTTGGAAAGTCAATGAGTAGCACATATTTTGGGAAGGAGGAAGAGACTGTCTTAACAGGAACACGATGATCAGAGAGCAAGAAAGGGATCTGTAAAATTCATACATTCTCCTTTCCTTGGGAAGTTCAGACATTCCCGCTGCTGATGTGCGAGAACTGGAATTCAGCATGTGTGATCCTTGAGACATTAAGCACCTGAGAACGCCTCCAGGATCTGACCAGTTGTCTGTAAATGTATCTTGCTGCATCGGCTACACAAGGGTGGCCAACGAGACATTTCTTCCTAAAAACTAAAGCCGCTCTTCTAACGTTGGAGAAACATCCAGTTAATGTTGCTAATCTGCAGTGCTGGAAGAACAACAGATGCATGACAGAGAGACTTTTGAGTCACGCTTTTGCTCAATTAAAAAAAAAAAAAAGGAAAGAGGTGGGAAGTCACAACCGAGAAATGCCAAGAAATGGCTGCGAGGCCTGTTCTCGATTCTGTTTTTAAAAAAAAAAAGCGTGATTGTGCGACACCCTGAAAGACGAATGCAAATGGCATCAAGACTCATCTTTGTGACTTAAACTGCCAGGACTCTGAGAGTTTTGCAAGTCACCCAAAGCTTAAAAGGCACATGACTCATCTGCTCAAGCGCACCCAACTGGTTGAGACACATCCGAAAACGGTCCTTGAAGCTTCGGCTTATGATTCTCTCCGACGGCAGATCCTGCAAGTGGTTTTCCCAGCATCAGACGTCTTTTGGGGCACCCCAGCCCCTCCGAGGGCTGTCCCTGCTAGGAACAACTTTGTGTAGGACGTGTAGGGGCAGGCTCTCTGGAGGGAATCAATTTACAGAGCCGTTTAACAAGCTCTGGAATTAGAAGCTTTGCGTGCCTCACATGCAGCTCACGTTGCGGAGAAACAAAGCAAGGGATACCGTGAGTGCCGAGTGATACTTGCATACCTTTACCGTCTTTTTAAGGAATAGAAATGCTTTCCTACTTTTTTTCATAATTGCCCACATCTTCAGGGGTAGAGCAGGCTCTGGCTGGCTTGGAGCTACCAGTCTTGGCAGAGAAAATCTCAACATTTTGAATTTAGAAGGATCATTCTAGCCCAAGAGAAGGAAATCTGCCCTCTAAAATGGCAATTTGCAGATGGCCTTACAAGCGTAGAACGGCTTGATTAATGACAAAAGAGTATAACCCAAATTTTGTTTAACCTTTCAACCTAAGCTGATGCTCTAAAAGAGTTATTCTGGAATCACTTAGAAAAAGTACTCAGAAGAGCCACGGATGTGGTGTGACAGACCAGGGTATGGTTAAGTAAACATGGTAAATTAGCTTCAGTCACCATGAAGGGGACAGGAATTAGAGAGTCCTAAGAAGTGACAAGCAGGAGGAAAAAAAAGCTGGAATGGATGCATCAAGGTCTCTGGGTTCTTCCAGAAAGATAAATCAGAGGACTTTCTGCATTAGCAGAAAATCAAACGGCAACAGAACCCGATAATGGATACAGTGTTCTCACAACTTCACACCTGTGTTTCTCACAGCGCTCTCTACCCCTTGTTATCACCCTCTTCAAATACCTTTCGGTGTGAAGCTGCCCCCCTCCCTTTTTTTTCTTTGCAAACATGATTGTGGCAGCACCAATTTCAGGGAAGTGTTGGATGACATACATATATATAAAAACTAACCTATTTAAGAACAGGTCTCATGTAGACCTCTGCTGCAAATCAGACAGAGAGATGCTTTAAGACACTAGCTCAGAGATGGATGCTCCAGTTAACTAGGAAACACGACTTTCAACCTGTTTTTCTGAACATGTGAATTTTTCACACCAGGTTATATACCTGATTTTCTTTTTTAAAAAAGCCAATAACCTCTTTACCTTGAGAAATTCCTTTTTTGTTTGTTTGTTTGTTTGTTTTGGAAGAGCATAGTTTCTGAAGCATACAAACAATTTGTAGAGGAAAGGTGAAGGGGGGGAAAAAGAGACACTTTTTTGCCCCAATCTGAAGTAGACACGAGGTTTCCAGATATAGGATAACTTTGGTTTAGGATTAAGGAATAGGAATATAAAGCTGGAGGAACTAATTGGCTAAGATAGAGACAGGCATTAAGTCAAGCTTGGACCCTTGAGTATTTCTGGATTCACAGACCCATTAAAAGCCAAGACTTTCTAGAACCCTGCTAGGAAAATATGTCAGAGACACACAACCCTCACCGCAAGCAAGAAGTCGTGAATGGATGTAGGGTGAAAAGAGGTACAAGAAGCAGAAGGACAATATTTGCTCCAGTGGCATGGAATTGTATATTCCTGACTTACCCTCATCAAGAGCAGAGATCTAAAGTCCCAATTGCTATTTTTTACATCCTGAGGTTTTCACGGGTGCAAAATAGCTGATTTTCCCACCCTCGGCCACTGAAAATTGGCAGCCTGTTGCTCAAATGGATTGGATTACATTAGTGGGGAAACAAACTCACACACACCCCCAACTGCAGCTAACACAAAAATTTGCTAACTCAGAACCACAAGCTCACTAGCTCCTTAAATGTCTTTTTTGTGCCACCAGCACGAATCTCTGTTTTGCCATTTTGGTGAGAGTCTGTTCGCAGAACATATATACTCAAAAGCTACCGTCCCGGGATTAGAACTGGGTTTCGTTTCTGGATTTTTTTTTTTCTTTCCAAATCAAGGAATAAAAAGAACTTCAGATCTCCTGGGAAGTGGCCTTCACGCCACAATGGCTGGATTCTCCTTGGAAGAACAAGGCAAGTCTGCAATGGAAGCATTTCGCCAATTCTACCCTGGGTTGAGGCCTTTCGAGGAAGGCCTCGGCGAAGACGCCGATTCTCTTTAAATAAAAAAGAAACGACCAAAAACCGGTGGTATCTGCAGGATCCCCTGACGGTTTCCTTTGTGCGCGGAGCCCTGTTGATTTCCCACGACTTCGGTTGGGTTTCCAGCTTTTAAGGATCGTAAAGGTCAGCACCAGTGTACGAGAGTCACGACTCGATGGCGTTTTCATTCCATGATAAAACCGGGGTTGTGAGGGAGGCGAGGCGGGGGCCTCTGAGGCGGCGTGGACGGGTACAACGGCAGGAAGGGATTCGGGTAACCCGGCGACGGCCCTTGGCCCGGCGGCAGTGGAGCCCCCGTTCTTGGGGGAAGTGGAGGATATGGATACGGACTATGGCCTATGGCTGCCAAAAATGGGGTCGGGAAACGTCCTGCCGGGACCACGGATGCCGGAGGGGGAGGGGGAGGGTTACGACGAGGCATAACCGAAGGAGGCGTGTTGGCCTCTGAAGTCTGGAGCATGGGGGGAGGGGGGACCGGGGGCCGCCGGGGTCCTTTCAGTACCACCTCTTGGAGTTTCTCTATTTTGACCCGCCGGAGGTGAGCCAATTTCCTTTGGCTCTGATATTCGTCGATGAAGCTGTCCAGAGGAACTTCGCCATCCAGAAACTTCTCGGCCATGTTCTGTTGGAAAGAAGGAACAAATGGTGAGGCAGGGAGGGAGGGAGGGACGCAGCCTGGAAAGGCAGAGCCCGTTTCTCACGGCATCTTTGGCTCTCGACGCTGGGAGGAAACTCGGAAGAGAGGACTTCACCTACTACAGCAGCTTCTCCTCTCACGTGTCTCACTCTACAGGTAGTCCTCGGCTTACAACCACAGTTGAGCCCAAACATTTCTGTTGCCAAAGGAGAAATTCGTTAAGTGAGTTTTGCCCCATCTTACGACTTTTCATTGCCACGTTTGTTAAGTGGAATGCAGTTGTTAAATGAGCAGTGGATCTGGCTCCCCCTTTGACTTTGCATGTCAGAAGGCCCGCCAAAGGGGATCACGTGACCCCGGGACACGGCGACCGTCATAAATAGGAGTCAGTTGCCGAGCGTCTGAATTCTGACCACATGGGGATGCTGCAAAGGCCGCAGCTTTGAAAAACCGCCGTCACAAGTGTAATTTTGTAAACGGTCACTAAACGAACTGCCGAGGACTACCCATAAATTAATAAGCCCTCCTGGGATGAAAGCCACGAGCAGGCAAGTCTAGCGGGCAAGTGTTTCATGACAAGCCCTTTTGCTTTGCGAGGCAGCGCTAAAACCTCAGAAGAAAGAACAATATCCCAGCAAACCCCAATGGCAGATGTTCCCTATTTACCTCAGTGTCTTCTTCAATTTTGGCTCCCTCGGTCTGGAGAAGTGCGAGGAGGGTCTCCAGCGAAGCGTTATTGGATTGTCTGTCTGCAAACCAGGAAGGGAGAGGGGGTGGGACATTGGGGACAGCCATGAATTAAAGCAGAGCTCATAAATATATGACTACCACAGAGTAAAACCATTTAAAAAATAAAAACCCAGAAGGGAAGCCACGAATGTGAGTGCCGGTTCAGAACTTGCAATGATTATGGTCTGGCACGGTTTTCATTCCTGACCAACTGAAAACCAGTTTTCATGCAGTGGTTAAAGTCTCAGCTAGAAACGGGGAGATTGTGACTTTAGTTGCCCTGTCAGGCATATATTTTGTTTCGTGCAGTTTTTGGAACTGAGGTTTAAACAGTAAATGCACGTAGGACGGGTGAGGCTGGATCAATAGCAAGCAAACAGATTGATCCCATGCATGTTTATGGGAAAAGATGCATTAACTCTGGATGTAGAACATGGAAGCACAATGCTTGAGCTCTGTTTCAATGTACTGCAGGAGTTAGCAACCATGGCTAATTTTGTCTGGAGTTTATGATTATGTAACATTGAGCCTGTTTAATTCTTGGATGGGTGACTATTCCAGGATTGTAAAACAGACTGGGCAGAGGTAAAACGGACATTTAATTTTGTACATATTTAAAGGAAACCATGCACTAACAAGGAATTGAGCTTGGCTTGGGGATGTCTTCATTATTAAGTAGGGTAGGAAGTGAATTTCAACGCTGGGATGTCTTGATTCAAACTCCCTAGTGAATTTTGGGGTGTGCTGCACTTTCTCCAACAAGCCCACTCCCTGCATTGTAATATTTATTTACAATAAATACAATTGCAAGATGCTAGGCGGTATACCAGAAGGCTGAGAGGAACAAGAACAGCAGAAACGCACCCATACATACGTATTTGCAGATACGAATGCTTGTGATCAATTGATCAGTACCAAAGTAGGATAGGAACAAAGCAGAGTTTAATCTCTTTTGCAAAATGCAGGGAAAAGCATGGTGGAAGCAAGGCCACGCTACCTTACTGTCTGTGATGAGTACTGAAATAATACAGGCTGCTTGGAAACTTCTACCGCCCTGCTCCCTGTTTTTATTACAAGACAATATACTCCATAGAGCTTTTGAGGGCTGGGCAAGGAAACATGGCAGCCTTCCAAACGGACTGGCCATCTCCAGGGACTGGAACCACCAGCGTGCAGGATGTATCTGTTCTTATCAACACCTCATTTCCCCAAACATTTATTCTCATAACCAGCAGCTTAAAAATTTAACTTGTCTGTAGGCAAACTACTAAAAACTGAGGCTACCAAACATCAACTGGCTACAAGCTGTACTTTTTTTTATTAATTTGTATGAGTTTAGTTCTAAATTAAAATAGGTTTTATATTTTGATGCCAGAGCCAACCATGACACCAAGTTTAGGTTCCTCTTTAGATAAAAAAGAGTAGATAAAAGTTTAAATATCTCTAGATTAATTAGGCGCTGCTCGGCTCATTCACATCCTTAAATGACTCCATACTTTGATATGCATCTATATTATCCAATAATTTGAAGCCCGTCCCAGCTACCCCGTGCTGCTTATGGAAAAGACGAGGGGGTTGGATTCATTCCTTTGGAATATTACCTAGCCTGGTTTTCTTTATCTGATACGCTTCGAAGAGAACCTGTAGCTCTTGATACTTTTGGGTCAATGTGGCTTTCAGGGCATCTAATTTTGGCTGGTATAAGAGATTTCCTTCTGCTAGGCTGTGGTTACTGGCGAGAGTCATATCTTTGCCAAGCTGAACATTTTGGGCCTGCAAGAGAAAACGAGGCAGACGGTTAGGCAGAAAATTAATTACAGAGGTGGGATATTTCTAAATTTCTCTCTGGTGAGCAAGCACAGCAGTTGAACCACTTTTTCCTGGTATTCATATTAATTAGCGGGAGGAAAGGGGAACACGATCCGGATTGCCGGCCTCTCTCAAAGAAACAAGCAGACTGGAAACACAGCCAGAATGTAAATCAAGCTGTCACACACACACACACCCCTTCCCCTCATCCGCCCCTCACCCTGATTTATAAATTTAATTTATGGAGGAGAGAGAAAGCAAAGAGAGGAGCTTTGGGGGAAGCAGAACAAGCTGGCTTGGCACCGTCTCCTCCTGCGAGAACTCATAATGAGACCCTGTAGATCAAAAGGGAAACTGTGTGATGAGAACTGTCATTCAGCAGGAGTGAACAGCAGGGCTCTGTTCCCCTCTGGTTTCCTGGATTATACGGATCTGATAAAGGCGCCTTTATTGTGCTCGGAAGATAGCGTGAACAGAACTGGAAGAGGCTGGATGCTTTTCCAAACCGTGATGTGCATTCTCTCAAGGCAGCACAACTTTAAAAAGAAAAAAAAACACACCAAGAGTTGACAATTTAAGATGAATGGTGGGAACGAGAGGGGAAGGCAAGGAAATAAGAACCAGCTCCTTTATAAAGGCAATATAACAACTTGGTGGAACAGCTGCTGCCCCGAGTCCCCCCCCATATATTGGCGTCTCCCCCCCTCCTCCAGACCGAGAAACAGAACACCGAGTACTGCAATGAATCATTTTCTTCCATTTTATACCAAACGCCAGCACCATCCCTCAAGATATTAAAAGCCACATAAGGATGAGTCATGTGAGGCCACTTAGAGCCATCAAAAATAGGCGAAAAGAGCTACTTGAAAAGATTTTGGCCATTAGGCAGAAACTCTTAGTCGGTCATTGTGGGAAAGAGGGCAGTGGGCCAGTCCTGGACTGATTTAGGCAGCCTCTTTTGTTAATCCTGGGAATGACTGATTTTAACGCTAACTCCCAACAGGCTTGCTACGCAATCTTAATAAGTCGCTAGGCTAAAACTGAAGGAGAACAAAGGCAAAGGTAAACGCATTCTCTACATTCAATTATCAACTCTCTTCTTAGGACTCATTGTGCATCGCTCTGCTTTCGATCTTCCAGATCATCAGCCTACTTATTTGGGGCATGTAAATGAAAATGTTATATTTAGCTCCTATAACACAGAATCCCACTCACAGGTACATCTATTATAATGTGTGTGTGTTTTTTAAAAAAAACCTATTTAATGTACAATGACGTTAGCACTTTGCTTTGAGAAGCCAAGCAAGCCAAGGCTGGGGAATTCTGGGAGTTGAAGTCCACAAATCTTAAAGTTGCCAAGGCTGGACACCCCCACTCTACACTTTAGCTTCATGAAATGCATTAATTCAGCGGCCCCCAATCTTTTGGGCGCCAGGGACCACCAGTTTCACGGAGAGAGGATTTTCCGTGGACCAGAGGGGTGGTGGTCTTGCGTGCTGACTGCATCCCGCAGATGGGGTTTCGCTTTTTTGTGCGGACCAGTTTCTGGCATGACACGGACTGGTGCCAATCCACAGATCAGGATTTGGGGACCCCTTCATTAGTCCACTGGCTGTTTCTTACATTTTCACAAACTAATAATGACTATAGCACACACAAGGAAATAGTACCTATCTGACCTGGCTTTTCAGAGATCTGTATTACCACGGAGGATATTTTTTCATAAAAACTCGTGTCATCGTATTCTAAAGAAAGACCCCTTCGTTTATCCAAATTCAGGTTCTTTCCCAGTCCCATGGCTGTTCCTCTCTATCGTCTCTTCGAGAACCCTTCTCCCTCCCCACCCCTTTTGTGCATTTAAACATATCCATGCCATGATGACAGAGTAAGCTATTTGTTAAAAAAAACAAAAAACAGGCTTTTCTTAATGGACTGACCGCTAGAACAGAAAACCAGCCTGTAGTTACTGGCATGGTTAATTAGTAGTCTTAAAACCTAATTTCATGTTGGCAGAAGAGGACATGACCACATTCACTGTGAGGGTGGAAAACAGTGTAATGGAGCCAAGAAATCTCTCTATCTATTAGATTGTTTGCTTTCTCTTCTAGGACAAAACTTCGTGGGAATACAAGGGACTGTCTATGAAATCCTATCAGCTGGCATAGTCCTGAACCGTTTAAACCTCTCCTGTCTTGATTTCATGCAATACTGACCAGGTTATGTTTTTGGGAGTCCTATATTTATACTGTATATACTCTACATTTGAGAGTCCTATAACAGTTTATACTGTAATGTAATGTTTGTAGCACGGCAACCCAAATGCATTTCCAAGACCTTTGATTGAGAAAGATTTCTTTTGGTAGATCATTCTACATTCTACAGTAATTGGAATAGCAAAAAGCCTCTGAAGTACTGGAGGAAGGAAGAATAAAAAAAATGTATCAGGCACAAAAAAAACAAACAAACCCAAAAGCAACAACTTATTTCAAGAACAGAGAGCAAAAGCATGTTAAAAGTGGGTTTTCAAGGCAAGAAATGTTTCTTCACTTCCTTCAGGCGGAGGAAAATTACTTTAAAGGGTAAGTGAATTCTCTCCTTTGTAATTCTAGAGTTTAAAAATGTTGGAGCAAGTGACTGAAAGCATGAAAAATTAACACAGGGTAGCCCAATAATTAATTTATTCCAGACTCTGTGTCTAATTACAGGCCAATTACTTAAGAAAGTAGTAACTCTGCCAATTGAAGAGAAGCACAGGGCATAAATGGCAGCCAAGAATTTACTAACCAAAGCTTTAGGACTAACCCCAGCCCTGCTCAAATGGTAAATACTGCTTTGTAGGCACTTGACTTTGCATTACAAACACCACTGGTCCCTCTGTAGTCAAGATCTGAGACATACAATGGGAAATAAAGGTAAAATGCTCAAGGTTATTCTACCTCTTTAACCTGTGGGTCTCCCACACGGATACTATTAACATTGAAAATGTAACTCTAGACGCCAGCTCACACAGCAAAATAACTTAAAATACATCACAGTCAAGAAGAGTTGATTTCCCACTATTCTCCAAAGCACCAGAAGGCAGGACAAGAAGCAACGGGTGGAAACCGATCAAGGAGAGAAGCAACCTGGAACTAAGGAGAAACTTCCCGACATTGAGAACAGTTAACCAGTGGAACAACCTGCCTCCAGAAGCGGTGAATGCTCCAACACTGGAGGTTTTTAAGAAGAGACTGGACAGCCATTTGTCTGAAATGGTATAAGGTTTCTTGCCTGAGCAGGGGGTTGGACTAGATGACCTCTGAGGTCCCTTCCAACTTTATTATTATTATTATTATTATTATTATTATTATTATTATTATTATTATTATTATTAGGTCATCGATACAATAAAACTAACATTTCGTGTTGGCTGTTTTTTAAAATTATTGGAGTGCCAGATGTCCCTCCACATAAACATATCATCCACAAAATAGAGGATTCGTTTTGTCAAATCAGGACATCTGGCTGTAAAAGGAGCAAAAGAGGCTAGGCTGCACGTTAGTCAGGGCTTCATTTTTGCTTGAATTACAAACCACAAACGGATATTAGTTTCATTCTGCTACAATGCTTCCTCGCAGCCTTGAATACAAGGAGAGTATTATATCAGAAAGTCTTTCACAACCTTAGCCGCTGCATGGGAGTATTTCTACAGTTTACAAAATGTCCTTTCAGACTCGGAGCTCAGCTGTTCCTAGCGCTGTTTGGCGGCTTTTTAGATTTTGTACTAGCTGGTTACCACGGAGTGACTAGGAATTAAAGATCCTCCTTCACTGTATGAATTCCAGACAACAAAAGAGCACAGAGCCAGGCAGGAAAGATTTGTAAAGACACAGAAGTTCTTTCTTTGACTGGCAGCTAGAACAAAGTTCCCAGATGCAAAATTATTCAAGGACAAAGCAGCCCAAATCTCAAGTTAGCAAAAAGCAAGTGCAACAATAACAGGATAAGGTGTGAAGTCACAAGTTTGCAAGTGTGGGTACGATTAATTAGCAAGGCATATGTTTGCTAAATTCAGAAACTTCATCTGTAACAAATTGAAGAAGGAACTACTTCAGGCCTTCCTTTTCATGCTTCGGTAGCTCCTTACTCAAGGAAGTGAGCGGACTATAGTGTTCAAAATTATCCTGGAATGCAGTCTACCCCGCAGGCAATATGGAACAAAAGTTCTGATCCTAGAGAAAGCCTTGGGAGGCAGGTTCAAATGACGCAAAAGGAACATAGAGTATTCCAGGTTTTTCCCCCCCAGTGAATACAATTAGGATTAGTCATTGTTAGGCAGCTTGATGGGCAGGTCAGAAGAAGCCGGGACCCTATTTTACTGAAAATGTTTCTTCCCTATCAAGTAACCAGAGCACAGAAACGGGGCGGAGGGGATATGAACTACATTTATTGTGGAAGCAATGTGAAATTAACAATGAATTCAAGCTATTCCCCTGTGAGTGAGCCACCAGATGGCTGTCCTGTTCAAGGAGTGCCTTCAACCCCTAAGGAGATCCCATCTTCTTTTCAGAAATTACTCATGTCTACAGGGCAAGAAATTACACCCTAAATGCAAAAACAGAAGTAACTCAGTAAGTCAAGCACACTAAACTGTTGGGGAACCTAAAAGTCAGGCTTTATCTTTTATCTTTTGGTTAATAAGTCCTTTTGTTTTTACACGATAAGAAATCAACTTGGGAAGCTGCCGCCCTGCCTCACCTCTCTCAACCTCGCTCTCCCATTCTCACCAGGCTGCATTATTCCCACAATAACCACAAGGTTGTGAATTGATGCACAATCACCTAAATCCACACTCCAATCACGGTCAAGCCAACTCCATCTTCCTCACCCTAATTTCAAAGCAGGCTCTGCGATTCCGCCGAGAACACCCTCACCAACAAGGAAATAATAGTTTCTTCCCCCCACAAACCACAACAAACTCTTATGGCCAAAGACAGGCAACCTGTTGATCTATCCACTTTGTGTTTTCCTACATCTTTACTGCAACTTCCTCCACAGCTCCCCAGAAGGGTGCAACTCATGTCCCACCAAGAACGCAGAGCACCCTGGCTTTTTAAGCACACCACTTCCTTATTGAAAGGGGAAACAGCCACGGCTGTTATTAAGCAGAAAGCGAGTCCTCCCAAGCCAACCGGGCTATTCTTAGACCAAATACCAACGGACAAAAATCAGCAAATGAAACTTTGTGCCTCCCAGGACTCTTTGGACAAACTCAAGACAGAAATAGACCTGCTCCCTCCCCCCCTCCTGGAGGCAAGCCTGGGGAAAGCCCTGTTAATGTAGACTAAACCCCCAAATCAGGAATCTGGGGTCACTTTCCCAAAGCCAGCGAAGTCTGAAAAAGGGGCTTCCCAAGGATCCCAGATCTAAAGCTCCGTCTGGACCCCCGTTTTGCTATGGAGCCTCGGAGCCTGGGGCTACAGGGAAACCTCAGCATCTCCCCCCCACCCATAATGCCCAATAGGGGACGGGGACAGCTGTTAAAAGTCTCAAAGGTGCTTTTTTCAAAATGCAACTATGGCATCTCCAGAGTCCCATTTTGGCCAGATGTAAAAAGCCACCCAGGGGCTAAGAGACCCATAAACGCCAATGGGGTGACTTGGTTTAACACCCAGAGTAGTCATAGCAAAGAGAGAGAGAGAGAGAGAGAGAGAGAGACGCTGAAACTCCCGTTTCCTAGGAAACCAAGTTGCCCCTCTTGAGCTTCCCCCCTTCAGAGCCCCGCCAATTCCTAACTTGAGACCCCCTCCCCAGCCCCAATTCCCCCCTTTGGGACCTCCCACCCCGCAATTTTCCCTCTTGGGGTCCCCCTTTCCTCAATTCTCCCCCTTGGGGCCTCCCACTCCCCAAATCTTCCCTCTTGGGGTCCCCCTTTCCTCAATTCTCCCCCTTGGGACCCTCACCCTTCTCCCCCCCGGGGCTGGCCGCCCTACCTCCTCCATCTCCAGGGCCATGTTCTGGAGCTGCTCCTCGTCTTCCAGGAGCTCGTTGAGCTGGTGAAGGCTCAGGCCCTCCAACCGCCTGACGTCCACCGCCATGTCGGGCGAGGAGGAGGAGGAGGAGGAGGAGGAGGAAGAAGAAGAGGAGGAGGAAGAGGAGGACGAGAAAAAGGCGTCCGCTCCGCTCGCCGCCCTCCGCAGCTCTGCGCTGGCGGCGGCGGCTGTGCCCGCCCCTCCCGCCGCTCCACCGGAAGTGGCTGCTGCCGCTCTTCCCGGCCCCCTCCCTCCTCTCTCTCGCCAGCAGGTAGGAAAGGGAGTGAGAGAGAGGGAGGGAGGAGGGCGGGGAGGTAGACGTCATCGCGCCTCTCGCGCTCCCCCTTCCCTCCCCGAAAGTCAAAAATGGCGGGAAAACGCGCTGAGGGCTCGCGGAGAAGAAGCGCTTTTCCCGCCTGTTTTAAACTTCACGATTAAAATAAAATTTTTTTTTTTAATGTGTTTTATTTATTTGGGCTTGTTTGCCTGGATGATCCAGTCTCTCTCTCCCCCTTGGCTGATTGCTGTAGTATAGATCCCCTCAAGGGGAGGGAGGGAAATAAATAAACCAACAAACAAATAAACAAATAAATAATCTGGACTGCATATGCTCATTTATCAACTTCGTTTCCATTTTTCCCCCCTATGATTTAATGATTGGAAAGTTAAACATGTTAATGGTGTAACTTGAGACGAATGTTTACGTTCACCTTTGGTACATAAGTTGCATGCTTTTGAGGTTTCTTTTGCTACGAATAATTAAACATATTTTTGAACTTGCATAACCGAATCTTTGAGATAATTGTTAAGGCTGGTCTTTTTAATATCTTGAAGAGATACCCCCCTATGTATTTTGCTAACTTATGTGCTTTTAAGACAGGGCAGTAGACAAGAAAGATGCTACATAGGCTGTAGCTAGTGGATGAAAACCAATGCAATAATCAGAATGCTCAAAAGCTCATTGATTTTCGCTATTACAATTTGTAGGTCTCCTAACTGGAGCATTCATCTGCATTCTCGTAGGGGAGAACGTCTTTTTTAACTTTAAAAGAGACCTGCATCTTTAAGTACAGATGTGGTCTTCGCTCTCTCCAAGCTAAAATATCTAAACAACTTCAAGGGCAAGGTTTAAATGATAACCTGGCATTGCACAACTCAAGGTGTGCCTTCTCCATTGCCAGGGAAGCCTTGATAGCTAAATATGTCAACAATAGCCCAGCTGATTGTTTTTTTCCAGACCGGATTTCCTGATTTGAGCTTTGACATTCTGCAGGTCAAAGAAAAATCCATTCCTTTCCCTCTTCCTAATGTTTTATAATTAGTTCGAACTAAATATAGGAGGAAAAGAAAACAACCTAAGAGTTAGCATTGTGGTCGAACAATTCAGGAATAATTTGACATACCTTCCAGCCTCCTTAGCATGGGAAGAAGGTTTGAGGTTGCAATTCTTCCTTGGACCAATTTCTCTCTACCCCGAGGGTAAAAGATTGTTATTTTAGTAGAATTTGCTCTTGGGCTGAGCAGAAAACATTTGGATCTTGCATCTGAGGTTCAGAGACTGGCTACCTCCATTTTAATAAAGTCACACATTTGCATTGAATGGAATTTGTTCAATTACCTTATCAGATTTGGAGCTGCTGAATTATTAATACAATTTAATTGCATCGTTCTCCCCGACTTCCCGCTTCCAATATGAAATCCTTCCCTTGGTCTATGAAATCCTCAAGGTGAGGCGTGTCAGTGCCTAGGTACATACATCCAGGAGTCACTTGAAACCTGTCATGATTATTTAATTTTGTTAATTACAGAGAGTTGGCACCCAGCCTCTTTGAATAATTCCTGCAATAGGAGGAGACATTGGACCTGATTTATTTGTAATTGTGCTTTCAGGATGCACACCCACTTCTTTGAGCTGAATGTATGACAATAGCTAGCTAATACTGGAAAGTTCATACAGGATTTAATTTGCAAGCCTGCAAGTAATCCTTGACTCACAACTGTTCATTTAGCAACCGTTCAAAGTTACAACGGCACTGAAAAACGTGATATACGACCAGTCCTCCACTTACCCTCTTTGTAGCATCCCCAAGGTCATATGATCAAAATTCAGACATTTGGAAAGTGACACATGAGCAAAATCAATGGGAGGAAGCTGGATACACTTAATGACGGGAGATAACACTCACTTAGCAACTGTGGCAAAAAGGTCTTAAAATCAGACAGGACTCTCTTAACAACTGCCTTGCTTAGCAACGGAAATTCTGGTGCCAATTCTGGTTGTAAATCAAGGACTACCTGCACTCTTAAGAAGCCTTCAACCTTCTCCCGAGATAGCTGATTAAACCATCCTACTACCGGTTCAGATTCTCATAAATCCATGTATGTTTACTCGGTAAACTTCACTGGCCATCTGTGTTGTTGTTGGCGCAATGGTACATGTATCAAAACTGCAAATAAAAGATGTACATAAAATGCCAAACCTTTGAGTAAGGGGGCATAAAAGGTTGACTGAAGACCGGGTTGTAGAAACCAGCATAAAACAAATTTCACGATGGTGCCAGCAAAGTCAAGGAAATTATTTGCAACTAACGCAAGACAACAAAAGAGAATGTAAGAAAATCAGCCGTTTGTCGTGCTCATCCATAGGACCTATAGTATCTCTGCCCATAACTTGCATTATTATGGACCATGCTACCTTGAGTAATGGAAGCAATAGATTAACTTTACTTTGCAAAGCAAAGTTAGGAAGAACTGGTTTTATCAAAAAAAAAAAAAGAACTTTTTTTCTTTTCACCAGCAGAGCATAAACAAATATTACATTAGAGGGGTTAACTCTTTGTTGTTGTTAATCAAGAAACATTTGTTATCTCTTGGAGGGGGACTCTACCAATAAAAGGCTATTTGGGACAGATTATTGAAGACACAAGACACTAAAAGTAGAATATCAGAGGTAGTCTTTTTTTGTTGTTTAATTTAGCGAAGTGCTTGTAAAATATGTTCTTTTGAAACACTGCTAACAACAAAAATCTGCTCATCGAAGTATCAGAAAGTAATTAAAATGTGATAAAGTGCTTGAGTCATTTTACAACCGAGTGCAACTGGAAAGGCTACCCAGAGAGAACAAATTACCTTTTCAGGATTGCTAAGATTAAGGGTTGCTGGGTAATTGTTCCACTTCAATTCAGTTTTGTTTTTTTAAGCACATATTTGGCTGAGAACTCTAATATTTATCCAGCTGGAAACATCATAGATCAAAATAGGTCAAATTACGCAGCTAGATTTGGGAGGGTTCCCCCCCCCTTTCCTTTCCTCTCCTTTGTTAGTTGGAACACAACAAACCCATCAAAATAATTCGGAAAACTGATGCTTGATGATTAACTAATTAACTAAACAAAACAACTATAACCCTCAATATTTGGAATTTTTAGCAGAAACTATATCTTAAATATATAATTTGGCAGGAAATGTTCCCTGGCAGAATGGGCGTATTTTAAAACTGACGTGTCTGATTTTAGGCATTAAAACAAAACAAAAAAAAGGAAAACAAAACCTTTGTTCTTGAGAAATAAATAGTTTGCAAACAGAGCTGACTTGCTATTCAGGTGCCCAACCCAGATTGTGTGCAACTGTGCATACCAGCGATAAAAATGTAAATAATTCCAATGGCAATAAAACTGCCCATTTCTCCTAACCAAGGCTCTCTCTCCACCTTTATTGCCATTCAGGTATGCACTGCAGACAACAGGTGCAGTCCTCTTGTTCTCTCTGTTGTTAGGGCTGGAGGTTTTATTGCAATGCCATCGGGGATGCTACTACTACTACTACTACCTCTGAGAGCAATCAGAAATAACCCCTACCCAACTGAAACAGCGCTGGTTTTATAAGAAAACCTTCATGCATATGCAGCTTGTGGAGTACCACAGTTCACCAGAGATACCCAGGGAACCATTGACCTGGACTACAACATGTAACTATCAAGACATTCTAAATTCCGGATGAGCCAGCCTCCCTNCCCCCCAATTTTCCCTCTTGGGGTCCCCCTTTCCTCAATTCTCCCCCTTGGGGCCTCCCACCCCCCAAAAAATCTTCCCTCTTGGGGTCCCCCTTTCCTCAATTCTCCCGCTTGGGACCCTCACCCTTCTCCCCCCCGGGACTGGCCGCCCTACCTCCTCCATCTCCAGGGCCATGTTCTGGAGCTGCTCCTCGTCTTCCAGGAGCTCGTTGAGCTGGTGAAGGCTCAGGCCCTCCAACCGCCTGACGTCCACCGCCATGTCGGGCGAGGAGGAGGAGGAGGAGGAGGAAGAAGAGGAGGAGGAGGAAGAGGAGGACGAGAAAAAGGCGTCCGCTCCGCTCGCCGCCCTCCGCAGCTCTGCGCTGGCGGCGGCGGCGGCGGCTGTGCCCGCCCCTCCCGCCGCTCCACCGGAAGTGGCTGCTGCCGCTCTTCCCGGCCCCCTCCCTCCTCTCTCTCGCCAGCAGGTAGGCAAGGGAGTGAGAGAGAGGGAGGGAGGGAGGAGGGCGGGGAGGTAGACGTCATCGCGCCTCTCGCGCTCCCCCCTTCCCTCCCCGAAAGTCAAAAATGGCGGGAAAACGCGCTGAGGGCTCGCGGAGAAGAAGCGCTTTTCCCGCCTGTTTTAAACTTCACGATTAAAATAAAATTTTATTTTTTTTAATGTGTTTTATTTATTTGGGCTTGTTTGCCTGGATGATCCAGTCTCTCTCTCCCCCTTGGCTGATTGCTGTAGTATAGATCCCCTCAAGGGGAGGGAGGGAAATAAATAAACCAACAAACAAATAAACAAATAAATAATCTGGACTGCATATGCTCATTTATCAGCTTCGTTTCCATTTTTCCCCCCTATGATTTAATGATTGGAAAGTTAAACATGTTAATGGTGTAACTTGAGATGAATGTTTACGTTCACCTTTGGTACATAAGTTGCATGCTTTTGAGGTTTCTTTTGCTACAAATAATTAAACATATTTTTGAACTTGCATAACCGAATCTTTGAGATAATTGTTAAGGCTGGTCTTTTTAATATCTTGAAGAGATACCCCCCTATGTATTTTGCTAACTTATGTGCTTTTAAGACAGGGCAGTAGACAAGAAAGATGCTACATAGGCTGTAGCTAGTGGATGAAAACCAATGCAATAATCAGAATGCTCAAAAGCTCATTGATTTTCGCTATTACAATTTGTAGGTCTCCTAACTGGAGCATTCATCTGCATTCTCGTAGGGGAGAACGTCTTTTTTAACTTTAAAAGAGACCTGCATCTTTAAGTACAGATGTGGTCTTCGCTCTCTCCAAGCTAAAATGTCTAAACAACTTCAAGGGCAAGGTTTAAATGATAACCTGGCATTGCACAACTCAAGGTGTGCCTTCTCCATTGCCAGGGAAGCCTTGATAGCTAAATATGTCAACAATAGCCCAGCTGATTGTTTTTTTCCAGACCGGATTTCCTGATTTGAGCTGTGGCATTCTGCAGGTCAAAGAAAAATCCATTCCTTTCCCTCTTCCTAATGTTTTATAATTAGTTCAAACTAAATATAGGAGGAAAAGAAAACAACCTAAGAGTTAGCATTGTGGTCGAACAATTCAGGAATAATTTGACATACCTTCCAGCCTCCTTAGCATGGGAAGAAGACTTGAGGTTGCAATTCTTCCTTAGACCAATTTCTCTACCCCGAGGGTAAAAGATAGTTATTTTAGTAGAATTTGCTCTTGGGCTGAGCAGAAAACATTTGGATCTTGCATCTGAGGTTCAGAGACTGGCCACCTCCATTTTAATAAAGTCACACATTTGCATTGAATGGAATTTGTTCAATTACCTTATCAGATTTGGAGCTGCTGAATTATTAATACAATTTAATTGCATCATTCTCCCCGACTTCCCGCTTCCCATATGAAATCTTTCCCTTGGTCTATGAAATCCTCAAGGTGAGGCATGTCGGTGCTTAGGTACATACATCCAGGATTCACTTGAAACCTGTCATGATTATTTAATTTTGTTAATTACAAAGTGTTGGCACCCAGCCTCTTTGAATAATTCCTGCAATAGGAGGAGACATTGGACCTGATTTATTTGTAATTGTGCTTTCAGGATGCACACCCACTTCTTTGAGCTGAATGTATGACAATAGCTAGCTAATACTGGAAAGTTCATACAGGATTTAATTTGCAAGCCTGCAAGTAATCCTTGACTCACAACTGTTCGTTTAGCAACCGTTCAAAGTTACAACGGCACTGAAAAACGTGATATACAACCAGTCTTCCACTTACCCTCTTTGTAGCATCCCCAAGGTCATATGATCAAAATTCAGACATTTGGAAAGTGACACATGAGCAAAATCAATGGGAGGAAGCTGGATACACTTAATGACGGGAGATAACACTCACTTAGCAACTGTGGCAAAAAGGTCTTAAAATCAGACAGGACTCTCTTAACAACTGCCTTGCCAATTCTGGTTGTAAATCAAGGACTACCTGCACTCTTAAGAAGCCTTCAACCTTCTCCCGAGATAGCTGATTAAACCATCCTACTACCGGTTCAGATTCTCATAAATCCATGTATGTTTACTCGGTAAACTTCACTGGCCATCTGTGTTGTTGTTGGCGCAATGGTACATGTATCAAAACTGCAAATAAAAGATGTACATAAAATGCCAAACCTTTGATTAAGGGGGCATAAAAGGTTGGGTGAAGACTGGGTTGTAGAAACCAGCATAAAACAAATTTCACGATGGTGCCAGCAAAGTCAAGGAAATTATTTGCAACTAACGCAAGACAACAAAAGAGAATGTAAGAAAATCAGCCGTTTGTGCTGCTCATCCATGGGACCTATAGTATCTCTGCCCATAACTTGCATTATTATGGACCATGCTACCTTGAGTAATGGAAGCAATAGATTAACTTTACTTTGCAAAACAAAGTTAGGAAGAACTGGCTTTATCAAAAAAAAAAAAAAAGAACTTTTTTTCTTTTCACCAGCAGAGCATAAACAAACATTACATTAAAGGGGTTAACTCTTTGTTGTTGTTAATCAAGAAACATTTGCTATCTCTTGGAGGGGGACTCTACCAATAAAAGGCTATTTGGGACAGATTATTGAAGACACAAGACACTAAAAGTAGAATATCAGATGTAGTCTTTTTTTGTTTAATTTAGTGAAGTGCTTGTAAAATATGTTCTTTTGAAACACTGCTAACAACAAAAATCTGCTCATCGAAGTATCAGAAAGTAATTAAAATATGATAAAGTGCTTGAGTCATTTTACAACCGAGTGCAACTGGAAAGGCTACCCAGAGAGAACAAATTACCTTTTCAAGATTGCTAAGATTAAGGGTTGCCGGGTAATTGTTCCACTTCAATTCACAGTTTTGTTTTTTTAAGCACGTATTTGGCTGAGAACTCTAATATTTATCCAGCTGGAAACGTCATATATCACAATAGGTCAAATTACGCAGCTAGATTTGGGAGGGTTTTCCCCTCCCCCTTTCCTTTCCTTTGTTAGTTGGAACACAACAAACCCATCAAAATAATTCGGAAAACTGATGCTTGATGATTAACTAATTAACTAAACAAAACAACTATAACCCTCAATATTTGGAATTTTTAGCAGAATCTATATCTTAAATATATAATTTGGCAGGAAATGTTCCCTGGCAGAATGGGCGTATTTTAAAACTGACGTGTCTGATTTTAGGCATTAAAACAAAACAAAAAAAGGAAAACAAAACCTTTGTTCTTGAGAAATAAATAGTTTGCAAACAGAGCTGACTTGCTATTCAGGTGCCCAACCCAGATTGTGTGCAACTGTGCATACCAGCGATAAAAATGTAAATAATTCCAATGGCAATAAAACTGCCCATTTCTCCTAACCAAGGCTCTCTCTCCACCTTTATTGCCATTCAGGTATGCACTGCAGACAACAGGTGCAGTCCTCTTGTTCTCTCTGTTGTTAGGGCTGGAGGTTTTATTGCAATGCTACTACTACTACTACCTCTGAGAGCAATCAGAAATAACCCCTACCCAACTGAAACAGCGCTGGTTTTATAAGAAAACCTTCATGCATATGCAGCTTGTGGAGTACCACAGTTCACCAGAGATACCCAGGGAACCATTGACCTGGACTACAACATGTAACTATCAAGACATTCTAAATTCCGGATGAGCCAGCCTCCCTATGGAAAGTGCATTAGATCTGGAGTTCCAGTTCAACTTTCATGGAAGCGCAAAGGAAATCTGTAGGCACCAGAGTGATCCCAAAGTCAACCGGTTGGCTTCAATGCCAATCCCAAGCATGTTATTTCCATCTTGGCCCATAGTGGTGAGCCAACATGGAGGTCCATCAAAGGTCTTTATTCTTCCTTATAGTGCACACCCCTAAAAACCATGCCCATTTATATGTTAAGAGCAAAGTTTGCAAGGTATATCAGTGGGAAGAGCATGTAGCCCGTTAAGAGAGCTGCATCTGGTTTTCTTTCTGATCTACAGGAGGCTACCTCCTGGGCGTAATTCAGGTTGGACAACTGCTTAGGATTGTTTAATTAGCCATCATCAGATAAGGAAGACTAGGGAAGCCCTGTGAAAGATGATAACTCTTCCATCTAGGGTTTGATGGGAACCCTTGTTACATTCACTCCTGGGATCAGTTGACAGCCGGACGGCCCAGTTGAACATCTTTAAGTTCGGCAATTGTGGTGTCACTTCTTTATCTCTTCTGCCAATCCTGTCTTGGGAGAACCTTTCTGGATGTTAGCCAAGCCACCATCCACTGGACAGCTGTCCCCTGTGCCTGTTTCATGGCCAAGAATCTGTCTTTGCACTAGCTTGTAATAAAGGCCGCCTTCTTCCATAAGCTGCTTATGCGTCCCTTGTTGTACCACACGGCCCTTGTCGAGAACAATGATGTGGTGTGCCTTTTCCACAGTGCTCAGTCTATGGGCGATGACCAGCACCGTGTGATTCTGCACATGTCCATAAATAGCTTTCTGAATCTGCCAGGAAGAGAGATGGATTATATCAAGAAAAAGACATCCCCACTTTTCATCCAAAACACTCTCCCCAAATCAGACGGGAAAATATTCCATCTATTTGCTCAGGAGAGCTTCCGAGCAATCAAACAACAAAACAGGAGTAACAAGAACGGAGCAGGTTTCAATAAAACCCCTCAAGTCCTTATTAATAATATAGCTATGTTCAAAACATGTTTAATCAAGTTAGGAGCTGTGATCGTCTGTTAAACTCAAGTTTAGTTGGGGTTAATTTTGATAATTTGAAGGCGGTTTCTACTGTATAAACCCAGCCTGTTTTCAATGTTTTGGGAAGCCCCCCCGCAAAAAAATGTGTCTCTTGGGTAAATCTAATATTTGGCTCATATATTGGTTTTTATTTTGATTTCTCTCAAGGATTTAGCTGAGAATCCTCTCTGTGAAGTCGGCAATGTGACATTTACAGCAGTATTTCTGAACCTTTGGTAACTGAGGCATGGCTGGCTGGGGAATTCTGGGAGTTGAAGTCCGCATGCCTCAAAGTTGCCCAGGTTCAGAAACACTGACTTAAGAGATAGAATCTCTTTTTGTTCGCAAACGACCTCGTTCTCTGACATCTTAGCTAACAACAAACTCTGCTGAAGGCTCAGGAAGTCTGAACAGGAAACCGATCTTGCTCACCGCGTGTTCACTCTCTGCATCTAAAGCGCTTGTAGCCTCATCCAAAATCAGGATTGGTGGGTTTCTGATTAAAGCTCTTGCGATCGCCACTCTCTGCTTCTGACCGCCGGACAGTTGGGTTCCCTTCTCCCCAGCTTCTGCAGGAGGAAGGAAACAAAGAAAAAAAAAACCAGAATAGTAAACCCTGCTGGATTTCTTTATAAGCCATCCTGTCAGCCAAAGTCAACCTGACTTCAACAAAAAAAAAATTTAATTTGCCTCTTAAGGTGACGCTAACGGCCCCGATTTCAGGGCTGATTAATTTGCTGCAAGGAGGATTTGTGGTGTCAAGCCCTACCTGTGTGATAGCCGTCTTGCAATTCCATAATAAAGGTGTGGGCATTGGCATTTTGGGCAGCTTGAACGACTAAATCGTGTGGGGCTGAGTCCAAACCGTAAGAGATGTTCTTCGCAATAGATCGGGCAAACAAGACCGGCTCTTGGCTCACCAGGGAGATCTAGAGAGAAAATTGGCTGACTATCAGAAAGACTTCTATTGCTGAATGAATGGGAATTACATGATGTAATGTTTCTTGGTGCATCATGCAGTCACTTATCACCCCCCTTAGGACTCCTCTGGAGCTATCTTCTCTTGAATCCATTCCCCTTGCCTTTCCCACCAACTGCTGCTACAATGGGGTGAATTGGCTGTCGAACCTTCACTCAAGGAACCAACCAATTCTCTCCATTTTGGGGATCCAAGATGAACTCTTCAAACTTTACACATTTTTCAGTTGAAAGAAAACGATAGTTGGTTTTATCTAACCAATGGGACTTGGTAGCTATGAGCTACAGGGGTGAGTGAGTCCTTCAGACAGTTAGAAGCCTAATTTGTCCTTGTGATTTTATTGCAACTACTTGCAAACCTATCTTCACAACCTGAAGGGCTAAGGTGTCCTTCTTGTCATACCCAGCCAATCTAGGCTGCCAGCTATTGGCGATTCATACCACCGAGTGAAGATACTTGTGTTGGTACAGATTGATAGGCTGTCCATCCAGAAGAACCTGGCCCTGTTGAAGAGGGTAGAAGTTCTCCATGATGTTGACACAGGAACTCTTCCCGCTGCCTGAAGGACCCACCAGCGCTGTTACTTTCCCAGGATGGAGAGTGAAGGAGACATCCTGCAAGACCAACAGATCATCATCATGTCTCATCCATGACTTGGCATCTTTTGGGATTACCTTTCCAAGGCAGGTGTATGCCTAGAGCTTGAAATCACTTGGAAAGATGTTCTTTAGCCCCACCAAAACTCTAAAGAAATAATATGGAGAAACTGTGGTTTTAGAACCATGGGCAGAAAGTTCAGCACTTATTCTTTTCATCCTTCTTCTTTAGATCTGGAATTTTTTTACACACCAAAATATATATAAATATGAGAAACTTACCTGTAAAACCTGGGACGAAGGACGCGTGCGGTAAGCAAAAGTGACATTTCTGAATTCCACTTTTCCTTCCAGTTCGCTAGGAGCCAGAATCCCATCATTTAACATCGTGGGCTGACGGTCTATGAACTCAAATACCTTTTCAGCAGCTCCCACGCCCTGCATGAGGCCGCTGTAAACTGAACCAATGGACTAAAAGAGAGAAAGAAAGAAAATTACTAGGTGTTTTCATTTCAACAAAAATCTTACTGTGCAATTGGGGTTGTTAAGAAGCTCATTGTTCTGCATTTGAAAAGAAATATGTCTGAGAAAATACAGTTCTGGATAAGGGCCATTTTTCATTTCTGCCTTAAAGAAATCTAAATTGTAGGCTGCAGACGGATAACCCATAAAAAAGGTAAGTCCACGGACACCTCTAATTTTTAATAGAAAAATGGCAAGGGTGTTTATGAAGGACAGATTTGGTTGAAAACTTCTATAAAAGACATTTTAAGACTTCAACTGTGGACAGTCTTCATATTTACAAAAACCCAGCTCATACATATGGGAAAACAGTGAAAGACATTCAGCTGAGATCAGGCAAGAATACAGAGATGCTCTAAAAAGTGTCACTTACCTCCATGCAGTCCCCCAAGACGAATTCATAAATAATGAAGGATATCAAGTTGCCACTTGTCATTTGCTCAGTGATCACCAGATGGCCTCCATAGTATAAGATGCTCACTTGAACGATGAGTAGGGTGAGCTGGAATCAAAGACAAACACCTGAGCTTTGTATCACCAAGAACTTTGGAGTTGAACTCCAGTTTAACTCATGAGGACACCAAATTGGGCAAGGCTGGTCTACTTCTTCAGACACACAAAACACTTTCCGATCAGCAGCACCTAGCTTGGTCATGAAACGTCCGCAAAACCACCAAGCTCAGGGAACACCAAGGACCCCACAGTTCAGCACTGAACTACAAATATTCTTTTCTATCGGCACTTTCCTAAGGTAGCAAGGACATGTGGGACTTCAGGCAGCTGCTGACGTGAACCCAACTCTGAAAAAATACTTGGCACAATAAATGTGCTCTTATTTACTCTTGGCCTAAGTCCTGTGTGCCCAAAGCAGAATTGAAAAAAGGACAGAAAAGACTAAAAAAAAAAAAAAAGCCCTCTTAGTTATTTCTGTTGAAGAGAGAAGAGAGGAGGACCCATTTCAACCTACTCCATTTGACCACACGTAGTAGGTGTAAGCCATCGCCTCTTTTTTATTAAGTTTGTAGACTTGCTGCAATTTCTCCCAATAGACGTCAGCCTCGGCCTCCTCGTTGGCAAAGCTTCGAACTGTCCTCATAGCGGAGATGGTTTCTTCGGCAGTGTTGTTCGCCTTGGCCAACGCGTTCTGGACTTCTTTAGAGAGCTTCTACTTGGTAAAAAGAAAGAAGAAGAGTCACCTCTAAAAACGTCCTACTTCAACAGTACTCCAAGCTGCCCTCAAATTGACATTCCAGATGCTAAATAGAAATATAGGTATGTGCATATATGTGCAGTCAGTATCCAGGGCCAGATGTGGCTTTGAGAAGAAAACTGTGGTGGAACATCGTCTGGATTCCGAGAAAGGAGGGGCTGCATTCCAGAGGAGCAAGAGACAGCCAAGTTTAGAGTTTAGTTGGGAGGAAGAGAGTTAAGATGGCACCTCCCTAGAAGTTCTCAGAATAAATCTTTAGCTATGCAAGTAGTTACTTTAGTTTGGCAAGATTCTGTCTGCAGGTGAGGGACATTAACGGAAACTGCTTAGAAGTAGCTCTGAGCATCTTTCATAACTTGGGGAGCCTGACCAAAATTCAACGTTAGCCTAAACGTATTTGAACAATATGTGATCATTCAGATATGTCAGCTGACCTGACCATAACTAGCAACACAGGGTTTAAGAGGTCTTCCCCCCAACATTGCCAAGGATTAAAGAAATATTCTAAGACCTCCATAAAACTAACCTTATAGTATTTTCCATAAACGTCTGACATCAGCATGATTATAGGGAAGCCCATGAAGGTCACCAAGGACAGCTGCCACGAGAGACTAAACATGAAAACAATGACCCCGGTGGCTTTGACCAGGTTGCGCAAAAAGATGTTGATGTTTTGGGAGACAAGGTCGCTCACAATGGTTGTGTCTGAGGTCAGTCGGGAAATGATGTCACCTGCGAGAGAGGAAGGAGGACAGAAGACAAAGGATCAACGGAAAAGACAACATAACAAGAGAATACAATCTATAGAAAATGGCACTGAAGAAGTATTAGGACTCTGATTTTCCAACCAAGTCAATATTCTCAAGCTTCAGAAACTTTAAGCTCGGGGGAATTCTGGGAGTTGAAGTCCACGTGTCTCAAAGTTGCCAAGATTAAGAAACACCGGTCTAGACTAAAGGTGTTCAATCTACCAGCCGACAGATTCTCCTGAACTACAATTCCCAACAGCCCCAACCAGCCTGATTAGTGATACTGTACTTGACCAACATTTGCAGGGTCATGCCCCCCCCACTCCTGACCTGACTCAAAATGTAGAGAAACTCACCGGTGAGATTTTCGTCAAAGAAACTCATTTCCTGCACCACTAGCGATCGAAACAGTCTGTTACGGAGCCTGATATTCAATCTAGCAAACACCAGGGTGAAGAGGCCGCCTCGGATACCTGCGGTAAATGAGCTGATTGCAGATAAGAGATGTTATAGGACTGACAGAAACCAACAACGCAACACCCCTAAGCCCAGGATTACCTGTACGCTATCAAGAAAGGAATGCTTCAGAGAGGCACCCGTAAGATTCAACTCAGGTTTTGCTCCCAATATTACATTCAAATGTAATTTTAAAACCAAGAGAGCATTCTGCAAAAGCAGTATCTTTACAGGACAGGAGTAAAATTTGGACCTTTCCCATGGAACTCCATCTATAATGTTCTATAAAAGACATTTTTCAATTTGAGGAATTTCAGAACTTCTCCCAAACTTGACTAGTCACAGGATACCTTTCCCTCCCTGCAAGGTTTCCCAGACACACACACGCACACGCACACACACACACACACAAACCCCATGGAAATAGCAGAAAAGATTATTCCACACAATCCCACTCATTTTAACTTGTGTTCTTTCCCCAATTCCAGAACTTGCAATTTCTTGGAAGTTCCCATGTAAGAGACAATCTACATGACAGCCTGGAACCATTGCAAGCTACGTCACGCAACAACCATACATTCCAATCTTCAGACTGTAAGATAGTAAACACACCAACGATCTAATGAAGCTACCTTCCTATGGCTAGAAACGCCATGATCACCACTGCCTTGGAAAACTGGTCCATGGACTTCTGGATGACTATCCCATCAATGGCCTGGCCAGTGTAGTATGGAAGGAAGGTTTCTCCTGTTGAGAAGCAAAAAATCAGAATAAAAGTGAAAAGCACAAGGATTTGGCGGTCAACTTCAGAGCAATTTCTTTCCCAAGTCCCAAAAGATTTGAAAAAGTTGGGAATTAGTTGACGGTGCTAAGTAGAAATGAACAAGCTATGATCTACCAGATGTTGCAGATCACAAGAGAAGTGGCCACTCAACTCATCTGGAATTTAAGAATGACCAAAGGATCCATGCTTTGAATAAACCAATTTCAATTATTCTAGGTTACATTAACTTCCCGTTTGATATTGATCTTTCCCACAAAACCATCAAACATTCAGTAAACTTTATTTTAACCAACATCTACCCCACCCATAATGTCACAAAACCACAGGGTCATTAGTCTTTCAAACACACCACCAAGGCAATTAGGAGTATTCACGTTCTATTTTTATACCCTAATTACTCACCTAAAGCAGCTAGTAAGAGGAAGAAAAAGGCCACCACAAGGAAGTGAACATCTGGCTTGGTGTAGGACAGGAGTTTACAAATGGTGGCAGCTGAGGCCTCCTCTTTCTTTCCCCGAACCCCAGGAGAACTGGGGTCTCCAACGTCTTCTGCTTCAGCCCTGGATTCTGAATTAATCCCCAAGGCATCCCTGGCAGGGGTCACAGAGGAGAGCAGCTGCCAGAAGGAGAAAGTGGCCACCAGCGAGATGTAGGTCCAGGCGAACAAACCCCAAAACCAAGGGTCCTTGATGGTCTTTCTCACTTCAGAATAAAGAAGCAACTTGATCAGGGCATAAATCCCAATCGCCAAACAGACCAAGATGATAAAGATCCGGGACCCTTTCAACCGTTTGGGACCATAACTGGTGTTTTTGGCCACCCCAATGGAGGCCCCCAAGAGCAGGCAGCTGCGATACAGGCAAGAGCCCCAAATATCCAGCATGGAGTCAAAGATGTTGAAGTGCTTGAGATCCTGAAGGATGGTCCTGCTGTGGCGGTTGTGTTCGTACAACAGGGTGGTCAACGTCACATCCGTCCCTATGAAGGTGAGGGTGCTGGCCACCGCTGTCCAAGCACGCATCTTAAACCGGTTCCAGAATGAGGTAGAGAGGTGGGAATCATAAAACAGAAGGGAAGGAAGAGACACGAAGTTCTTAGGCCAGGGTTAACGCCAACATCACTACTCAGTTTTTTCCTGCAAGAGAGGAGAGAACAGGACAGCGTATTCACACATGACTTCTTAACTATGATTTACCTAAGTTGTAGTTGCTGGGCTTGCTTTGCACAACCAAGGAAAAGGGAAGAGATAGCTGGGCATCGAACCGTGGCTGGTTTCATCTAGATCTTATGAGCACCAAATTCACCGTGTTACAGTGCTACTTCCAAACCAGTTGAACCACTCATTGGGTACAATGGGTTTGCTGAATGGCCGCCATTTTGCTTAACAACCACTGTATAAAATCGGGCACAATCACCTGATGACCCATTAACGATCAGCACAACTTACAACCATAATTCTTGTCGTAAGTAGAGGACTACCTGTATAATCTTTCAGAAACTTTTGTTTCTTCCTCTAGTCTCATCTGATCTTCCTACCACTTCTTTTAAATTCTCCCTTTTTTATATATCTTTTATATCTTCTAACTTTTGAGCATCATTTTTAGATGTTTTAGCGCTCTCTCTCTCTCTCTCCTTTATTCTTCTTTTTCATGGCTACACCCCACCCTCTTATGCTGGTCTATGGATATAATCAGGATTTTATTTGTTATTGATATTTTCTGGAATAAACCATAATAAACTACCTTTGCAAATTAGGCTACCTGGCCGTACAAAAGAGGAAGTGGAACAGCCAACTGAATTAGCCTTATGACAAGCTGAGGGTTTAAAACAATGAATATTCCTCAATTGTTTGTTGCTTTCCATTTTAAACCAGCATCCTGGGACAAACCTCACCTCTCAGCATCTTTTTAGATAAGTAAAGATGAGGATTTTAAGGTAGCCCGGCAATTCAATGACCGTATTTTCTTGGAAAAAAATAAATAAAGGACAAACCTAGAAAAGCCGGCAAATCCAAAAGTCTAGGCATAAGGACCAAAAATGCTAATTATTTAACTTCATAACTTCGCACGACAAAGAAAAATCCAAAACAAAAATATGGCTTTTGGAAAAATAAACCAGTTTTGTGAAATAAAGGACTGTCCTTAATAATAAAGGATGGATGGTCCCTGTAACCAAGGACTGCTAGGCCGCTTGGCTGTTGCCATGGAAACAGGGAAAGTTGATCCTTCTGGGCTGGTTTTTTTTTAAAAAAAAATTGTTCGCCTTTCATTCAAATCTAAACCAAAGCCCTGAATGGGACATGTGTATATTCCTATTTATTTAATCTGAAGCCTTCAGGAAAAGTACCGGATGATCCAGAGAACGGAATCACATCAAGTTGGGAGGCTTGGGACTCCCAGAAAGGACTCCAGACCCTATCCGCCATGACTAAGGATGATGGGCCCTTCTGAAAGGGGTAGGAAGCAGAAAGAATTGGACAGGAAGGACAATGAAAAAAACCTCTTTGGTTTTAATCTTTCTAGGTTAAGCACAAGCTTTGGAAACTAGAGAGAGATGGGGGGACATTGCTTTCACAGATGCTATAAATAAATGGATTTAAAAGCATCCAGGTTTTATCAGGGATTTTTCAACCTCCCTTTCAAACTTGCCTTCATCTGGTTTGGATTTTAGTTGCATCCTTTCCAGATCAAAAGCCAATCCGAAAACATTGACATTTAAAACTGCAATGGCCTATAAATCTTACTCTGTATTTAATTCAGATAACGGGGTGAAAAACTCCCCGATTAGGGAACACCTTTGGAGATGCTCAGATTTTTAGACTTATACCAAACCAACCAGAATGGAGACATTCCAAATTGAGCCTAAAAGATAAAGATAAATTCTTTTTTTTTTAAACTTTCTATAAAATTGCTGGCCTATCTTTTTATATTTCCTTTGTTCTTTTCCCTTACCTTAACATCTGCAGAAAACATTGGCTCAACTTTGATCATCATTACAACTTCAGGGCCAACAACAGATTCTGTGTAAAGGCTCCAAAATCCTGAATGGGGGGGGGGGAAGGGAACTCATCGAAACATAATTTGGGGAAGTTTCATTTCAACCCAGTTAAATATGCTTAATGGCATAATAAGCCCCAAAGCTCCTTGCCAGAATCTGCCAAGTCATTTAAAGAGGAGGAAAAAAGCAATGCAAAAATTAACTTTTGGCCAGCACAATAAAATCAAATTTATTGACTTTATTTCATACCTTGGCTAAACAGTTGCCTTGCTTTGACCTAAAAATACGCTCCTTGCCAAAAATAAAACATTTTAATGTTTTTATTCCTTTACCAGGCAGTTGTCAGAGAGTTCCGCAGTGGAGATGCTGGATCTGCCCTTAAATGAAAGGGAGAGATTGACTTTGATGGGAAGGAGTGCTTCCTAATTTCCCGATAAAGCATCCAGGCTGCTCAGATGCCAAATTTAAAAAAAAATCCACTTTCCACCAGATTCAAAACACGCAGGGTGGGTGGGAAAAGACTGATTCAGCCTGATCAATCTGCTGCAAAGGAAGTTACCCAGATCTCAACTTATTTCCCGGTGTGACTCAGGCATTTTGATAAAATGGCAGGACAAAAAAAAAAAAAAAAGATCCTTGGATCCCTCAAAAGCCCCCATTCCCAACCTCCCTTTTAGTCAGACTTGTTTTCATCTCATTCGGCTTTTAGTTGCATCCTTTCCACCTCAAAAGCTAATCCGAATAGAAAAGAGATCATTTTTTTTTACCCACAGGTCTTCTTTGCAAAATTCAGGATATTTCTGAAGACTGGCAAGATGGGTGGGAGAGCTGCTGGGTGCCTCTAAAGCCTCCCAAATCTTTTTTTTTTTTTTAATCCTCCTGAGATCCCTGCAAGGTAGGCCCAGCCAACGCCAGGGACTCTCCAGCAGCTCCCATCAGGACCAGTATCTGCAGCCACAGCTTGGGGGCAGCAAAGGATTGGCCAACATCAAGCAAGCCAGCAAGAAAAGGTGGGCAGATCCCAGTTAAGGGTCTGAATTTCTCTTTCTGCAAACCCGGGGGTTCAAAAGTGGGGCGATTCTGCCTTTGCAAGCAAGGATTTGCCCCGCCTGGCGTCTGCATCAGCATGGAAGAAAGAGAAAAAAAATTAAATTAAATTAAATTAAAAGGACAGGTGTTTTGCAGAGAGGAGACGGGCTCATCTTCCCGCAGGGATGGGTCCAAAAAAAAAAAAAAGGCGTGGGAAGCCTTAGCTCTCTCTCTGCATCCTTCCAGGGAGGGAAGCCAGCCTGCACGGGTCTGCGGGTGCACGTGTGCATGCAAAACACGCCAACCCCCCCCCTCCCCGACCCTCTTTACCTGCAGACGAGAGCAAGACGCGCTAATCTCCTTTGGCCGGCGGAGGATGAGCGGCTCCCAGGACAAGGTCGGAAGGGGCGGGGTCTCGGCTGGACCCCGCCTCCTCGCGAGGCCCCGCCCATGCCTGCCTGCCTACCTTTGCAGCTGGAGAAAGATGCTAAGGCTGGTCCTCCCTTTCGGGCGATTACCAAATGGAGAAGCGGAGGAAACAAAAATAAATAACGCAACACACAGAGAGAGAGAGAGAGAGAGAGAGACTGAATCATCCCGCGTGAAAAAGCAAAAAGCATCCCCTTCCTAGGGAGGGGAAGGAAGACAAGCAGGGCTGGTGGGTGCAGCCTGGCCCTTCCCAGGGCTTTGCATGGATTGCAAAACCCATAATGCGTGACGGGGCGGGAGCAGAAGTGCAGGAAAAGGCGGTTTTCCAAAGCAAGCGGTGTGCGGGTGTGTTTCTATGTGGCATCGCAGCCTCCAATGGCTCCTTCCAAACTACTGAAGTTACTCTTGAGAGCTGCTGTCATCTCCAGCCCTCCAGCGTCCCTGCCAGGTCCTTGCATCCTCACAGTCGACTTATCTTGTGGCAGTGAGTTTCTTAGGCTGTGGGAAGCGGGGCTATTTTGAAATTATGTGGGAGCACTTCACGCTGAGAACTTGGGTCAGACACTTGGACAAGCAAGCTGCTTCAGTGCATCAGCCTAAATTTATTACATGATTATTTACATATTCACAGAGGCAATTTGGACCCAACCCCGCTGTTTAGCTCATCAGCCTGAGTGTTGGTCAATCTGCTTCTTTTGCACACACAAATGCAAAGATACACACACCACCTCAGTGCCCAGACTGTGTTCAGAATAGCATAGTGTTGACATTGTAGTCTTGTCGCCCACATTCTCCTAAGGATAAAACGAACATGCAGGCATCTTTGTGATTAGCTGGAGAAAGGAATTACCTCCTCTGATATTGCTTGTGGCTATCAGTGATCCTTCCTCCATTAATACAGTGCACAGAGCTTGCAAAAAATAGACACCTCAAATCACAAAAGGCCTGCTCTGCTGCCTTTTCAGAATTTCTTTTAAGAAACCTTTTTCTCGTTCTTTCTTTCATTTTCAAGAAACTTTGACGGCTTCGCTGCTCAAAGTCGCTTCCAACTGCGAGACGGGCAGTAAATAAACTAGATAATCGTAATAAAGCCCGCAGAAGGTTGAGCAGGCATCCAGCCTGGTGTGTGTGTGTGTGTAAGTGCGTGTGTTTGATGGAGAAGATACATAAACCCATTTTACAGATGGGAATACTGCAGTCTCGAGACAGGCCCCAAGTCATAGAGCATGCTTGCAAAGGATGTGAGGTTTTGAAGGGAGCATTCTTGGGTCAAAACCCAATGCTCTGACCCCACCCGACACTTGTTAGCTAAAATAAATAAGGAAAATCCCCATGCCACCCGCAAAATGTATAGCCTTTATGCAGGACTCTTCCACAAAGGCGAGAATTTCAATTAAACCATATTGCTCCCACCTCTTATATATCTATATGTCTCTGTTGGTCTTATTAGATATAGGGGGTTCTCGACTTACAACGGTTGTTAAGTTAGGCACACAATTGCTATGTGAACCTGGCTTCTTCACTGACTTGGCTTGTCAGAAGGTTGCAAAAGAGACCCGGGACACG